TGTAATTTTCCTTCTTTGTGTTGTCCTTGTCTGACTTTGGGATCAGAGTGATGTTGGCCTCATAAATGTGTTAGGAAGAGTTCCATTTTCTTCAACTTTTTGGAATAGTTTGAGAAGGATAAGTCCTAAATCTTTGAATGTTTGGTAGAATTCTCCAGAGAAGCCATCTGGTCTTGGACTTTCATTTTTTTGGAGGTTTTTGATTATTGTTTCAGTCTCTTGTGATTTGTTTATTCATATTCTCTATGTCTTTTTGGCTCAGTTTGGGGGTGTAGTATGAGTGTAAGAATTTATTCCTTCTAGATTGTCCAGTTTGTTGGCATATAGTTTTTCATACTATTCTCTTATAATTCTTTGTATTTCTGTGGTATCTGTTGTAATTTCTTCTCTTTCATTTCTGATTTTATTTATTTGTGCCTTCTCTCTTTTTTTCTTAGTGAGCCTGGCTAAGGGTTTGTCAATTTTGTTGATTTCTCAAAGAACCAGCTCTTAGTTTTGCATTGATCCTGTCTACTCTTTTTTTGGTTTCAATTTCATTTATTTCTGCTCTTACTTTTATTATTTCCCTCCTTCTGCTGACTTTGGGCTTTGTTTGTTCTTCTTTTCTAGTTCTCTTAGGTGTAGTTTAAGATTGTTTATTTGAGATTTTTCTTGTTTGTTAAGGTCGGCCTGTATTGCTCTGAATTTCCCTCTTAGGACTGCTTTTGTTGCATTCCATATGAGTTGGTGTGGTGTGTTTTCATTTTCATTTGTCTCCAGATATTTTTTTTATTTCTCCTTTAATTTCTTCAGCAATCCATTGGTTGTTCAGTAGCATGTTGTTTAGCCTCCACATATTTGTTGCTTTCACAGCTCTTTTCTTTTGTTTTTGTGTTTTGGTTTTTTTTGAGGAAGATTAGCCCTGAGCTAACATCTGCTGCCAATCCTCCTCTTTTTTTGCTGAGGAAGATTGACCCTGAGCTCACATCCATGCCCATCTTCCTCTACTTTATATGTGGGATGCCTACCACAGCATGGCTTCCCAACAGGTGCCATGTCTGCATCCGGGATCCAAACCTGTGAACCCCAGGCTGCTGAAATGGAACATGCGAACTTAACTGCTGTGCCACCAAGCCGGTCCCTCCCAGCTCTTTTCTTGTAGTTGATTTTTAGTTTCATAGCATTATGGTTGGAAATGATGCTTGATGTGATTTCAGTCTTATTAAATTTATTGAGGCTTGCTTTGTTTCCCAACACATGGTCTGTCTTTGAGAATGTTTCATGTGCACTTGAGAAGAATATGTATTCTGCTGCTTTTGGATGGAGTGTTCTGTATATATATATTAAGTCTGTCTGGTCTAATCTTTTGTTTAGTTCCACTATTTCCTTGTGGACTTTCTGTTTGGATGATCTATCCATTGATGTAAGTGAGGTGTTAAGGTCCCCTACTATAATCATGTTGCTATTAATATCTCCTTTTAGGTTAATTAATAGTTGCTATATGTACTTTGATGCTCCTGTGTTAGGTGCATATATATTTATAAGTGTTATGTCCTCTTGGTGGAGTGTCCCTTTTATCATTATATATTGACCATCTTTATCTCTCATTGCCTTTTTTGTCCTGAGGGCTTCTTTGTTTGGTATAAGTATGGCAACACCTGCTTTCTTTTGTTTGCCATTAGCTTGGAGTATTGTTTTCCATCCCTTCACTCTGAGCCTGTGTTTGTCTTTAGAGCTGAGGTGTGTTTCCTGGAGGCAGCGTATTATTGGGTCTTGTTTTTTAATCCATCCACTCACTCTGTGTCTTTTTATTGGAGAATTCAATCTATTTGCATTTAGAGTGATTATTGATATATGAGGGCTTAATGCTGCCATTTTATCACTTGTTTTCTGGTTGTTCTGTGTTTCCCTTGTTTGTTGTCCCATGTGTTTCAGACTGCCAGTTCAGTTTGGTGGCTCTCTGTGATGGTTTTCTCAGTTTTCTCTTTATTTGTAATTTGTGTCTCTGTTGTGATTTTTGTTTTGTGGTTACCATGAGGTTTTTATAAAAGATCTTGTAGATGAGATAGTCCATTTTCTGATAGCCTCTTATTTCCTGAGTCTAAGCACGTTCCATCTCTTTCCTCTTCTCCATCTAAGTTATTGTTGTCACAACTTTTTCTGTTTTGTGTTGTGAGTTTGTGGTTAAAATGAAGTGATTATATTTGTTCTTGATGTTTTCCTTCCTTTTATCTTTAATGTTATAGTCAAGTGTTTGCTAATCTGTTCTGATAGAGAGTTGCAATTTTCTGGTTTTGTCTGCCTGTTTATCTCCCTGCTCAAGGCTGTGTAAAACCTTTCTTTTCTTTTCAGGTATGAAGACCTTCTTGATCATTTCTTGTTGGGGGCTCTTGTGGTAATGAACTCCCTCAGCTTTTGTTTTTCTGGGACAGTTTTTATTTCTCCATCATGTCAGAAGGATATTTTCGCTGGATAGAGTATTGGCTGTAGGTTTTTGTCTTTCAGAATTTTGAATATATCATTCCACTCTCTCCTACCCTGTAAGGTTTCTGCTGAGAAATGCACTGAAAGTCTGATAGGGATTCGTTATATGTTATTTTCTTCTGCCTTGCTGCCCTTAATATTTTTTCTCTGTCAGTTACTTTTGCTAGTTTTACTAATATGTGCCTTGGAGAAGATCTTTTTGCGTTGATGTAATTAGGAGTTATATTAGCTTCTTTTCTTTTTTCTTTTTTAAAGGTTGGCACCGGAGCTTTTTCTGTTGCCAGTCTTCTTCTTCTGTTTTGTTTTTTTTTTTGAGGAAGATTACCCCTGAACTAACATCTGCTGCCTATCCTCTTCTTTTTGCTGAGGAAGACTGGCCCTGAGCTAGCATCCATGCCCATCTTCCTCTACCCTACATGTGGGATGCCTGCCACAGCATGGCTTGATGAGCGGTGTGTAGTTCCACACCTGGGATCAAAAAGGGTGAACCCTGGGCCACCAATGTGGAACATGGGAGTTTAACTGCTGTGCCACCTGCCTGGCCCCAGTCGTTTTTTTTTCTTCTTCTTCTTCTTTTTCTCCCCAAAGCCACCCAGTATGTAGTTGTATATTCTAGTTGTAGGTCATTGTGGTTGTGCTATGTGGGACACCACCTCAGCATGGCTTGATGAGTGGTACGATGTCTGCTCCCAGGATCCAAACTGGCGAAACCCTGGGGTGCTGAAGCGGAGTGCACAAACTTAACCATTTGGCTGCAGGGCCTGCCCCCATATTAGCTTCTTTTACTTGTCATTCCAGCTCCTTCCCCAGGTTTGGGAGGTTCTCAGCTATTATTTCTTTGAACAAGCTCTCTGCTCCTTTCTTCCTCTCTTCTCCCTCTGGAATACCTATAATCCTTATGTTGCATTTCCTAATTGAGTTGGATATTTCTCAGGGAATTTCTTCATTTCTTTTTAGTCAGTTCTCTCTCCTCCTTCATCTGAAGCATTTCTATATTTCTATCCTCTTAATTGGCAATTCTGTCCTCCATATCTGCTCTGTTATTTAAGGATTCCAGGTTTTTCTTTATCTCACTCATTGTGTTTATCATCTCCAACATTTCTGATTGTTTTTTCTTTATAGTTTCAATCTCTTGTGAGCAACTTCTGTTCATTAATTTTATTTCTGATTTCATTGAAAGGTGTTTTTGAGTTCTATTGTAAGTCATTGAGTTTTTTATGATAGCTGTTTTGAATTCTCTGTCATTTAGAATGTAAATTTTTGTGCCTTCAGGATTGATTACTGGGTGTTTGTCTTTTTCCTTCTCGTCTGGAGTATTAATATACCTCTTCGTAGTATTTTATGGGGTGGATTTGTGTCTTCACATAGTGATAGTATTTGATTGCAGATTCCACCTGCCACTACTCAGTGGGGCAGGAGCAGTGTATTCTGAGCCTACCTTGATCCCTGTTAGCTCTGCCTGTTCAAGCCTGGGCTATTCCATGGGACCACAGTGGCACTGTGGGCTCTCCCACTGGATGAGAAAGCAATCATGAAGGGGCTCAGGGCTGCCACTGCCTGCTCCCACAGTCCTGCCAAGATGTGCTTCCCCCTTTGGGGCTGCAGCTGTACTGTGGGCGTTTGTGGCAGCCGGGAACTCATTTGCCTGGGTGTGCAGATCCGCTGCTTCTCCTCCTAGGTCATACCGGCTGTTGTGCTTGGTGGGCAGGGCCTCTGGGCTCTCCCACTGGACAGGAAAGTGATCATGTGGGCGTTTAGGGCTATTGTCACCTGTTCCTGCAGTTGCACCGAGTCATGCTCCCACCCTTGGGGCCACAGTGGTGCTATGGGTGCTCCAGCTGGGAGAGCCATCACACATGTGCACAGGGCTGCTGGGCGGGGGGGCTGGAGAGTGCCCACCTCTCTCCACCACCTCCCTGGGCGTAGTCCATCCACCTTCAGATGTATAGCTGCATGGGTCTCTCAGGCGTCCTGTTGTGCTGTTTGGGTATCCTCCATCAATCAATGAATGTCCTTTTAGTTGTAGTTCAAAGGGGGAGAGAGAAAGGATACAGCTCACTCCACCATGTTGTTGACGTCACTGCCTGGCCTTGGAATTTTTACATAGCAACTCAGGACTCTAGTGTTAATGTTCTACAGAACCAGCTACACGCTGCATTGCCTTTTATGATCTAGTCTCAGAAAATGGCAGAAGTTACATAGTAGCACTTCCTCTACTCTGTTGGTCAACCAGTCTTTATTGTTGGCTCAAATTCAAGGGGAGAGCCACCTCTCAATATGAGAAGTGTCAAAGAATTTGCAGGCATGTTTTAAACCACCATGCTCATTTAGCACATAGTAAGCTCCCCTTTGTGTCTGAACACAGTCCTTTGTACATTTCAGTAGGTATTCATTGAATTATTGAGTTTTTCTTCTTAAATATAAATAGATTTGGACGTAAAGTAAATTTGTGTTTAAAACTTTAAGAAACGAGTAAGATATTTCACTTCTCAAAAACAGTTTCTTAGACTGATTATATTTTGTCTTTTTATTTGTAGAATACAGTATTTAATGAAAACCCATGCTTAACAGGTGAAAATGGCAGGTTTCCTTGATAATTTCCGTTGGCCAGAATGTGAATGTATTGACTGGAGTGAGAGAAGAAATGCTGTGGCTTCTGTTGTAGCAGGTATATTGGTAAGTGAAAAGGCCTGGGTGGTGACATTTATGCCTCATCTTTTGTCCTGAAAATTAATGTTGATTCCTTAGAACTTTGAATACCCTTCCAGAACTGTGTATTTCACTGTTGTTTTGTATAAGTAATGATCAGAGTTCTAGATACTATTACTGAACAAATCATGGAAGGCCCTTAGTTCATTTGACTTTGTAAATTTGTTAATATCTTTCCTTCGGTTCCAGTGATAATACAATTATTGTAGTCAATAGCATTTGCAAGTTAATGATGCAGTATGTATAAGTCCTCTAAGATCCTCAAAGGCTCAGAATTTGATGTAACCAAATATTGTTGTGACTCATTAAAGTTCAGGGTGTGTAGACAGCAGTCATGACCGTAGGCTGCATTAGAACCGCAGCCCTGCATGGCGCTAGGGAAGGCGTGCTCTCCATCTCCATTTCCCCAGCTGCAGCACTTGGGGGAGGTGAGAGGAAGAAATTCATGGAGGAAAGTGTTGCTTAATTCTCTTCCCAATTTTTTTTTTTACTTTTTGTTATTGAAAATGTCAAGCATATGAAAGGGGTACAGGGGCACATATATATGGTGACGGATAAAAACTGGACTGTTGGTGGTAAAAATGTCAAGCATTTAAACAAAAATAGAAGGGTATAAAGAGGCCCTCTCCCCTCTTGCCCCATGTGCTTATCATCCAGCATCAAAAAAAATCAAATCACGACCAATCTTGCTTTAGTTTTCCGTCATGCACTCTCTGCCACCACTGTGTTTGTTTGTTTGTTTGTTTGTTTGTTTGGTGAGGAAGATTGACCCTGAGCTAACATCTCTGCCAATCTTCCTCCATTTTGTATGTGGGATGCCACCACAGCATGGCTTGATGAGCGGTGTGTAGGTCCATGCCCAGGATCCACATCCATGAACCCTAGGCCACCAAAGTGGAATGCGCAAACTCAACTACCGTGCTACTCAGCTGGCCCCCTCACTGCATTTTTTGAAGCAAGTTCAGTATCTATTTTAAAAACTTAAAAAATTCATTAAAAAAATTCATCTCTTTCAGTGTGCAGTTCTATACCTGAAGTCCAAGAGGAAAAAATAAATAAAGCAGAGAAGAAACTAAAGATAATTGTGAAGCTGTCTGCATGCAGAATTCTTTTAGATGTTTCTAAGTTTTTCTTGCTGTTTTTTAAAAAATTTTTTTTATCATGGTCTAAACAGTTTATAACATTGTGAAATTTCAGTTGTACATTAATATTTGTCAAACACCATATAAATGTGCCCCTGTACCCCTTGTGCCCACCCTCCCCCCTTTCCCTGTGGTAATCACTAAATTATTCTCTTTGCCCATAAGTTTATTTATATTCCACATATGAATGAAATCATACAGTGTTTGTCTTTCTCTGTCTGGCTTATCTTGCTTAACATGATGCCCTCAGGGACCATCCATGTGGTTGTGAATGGGACGATTATGTCTTTTTTATGGCTGAGTAGTATTCCATTGTATATATATGCCACATCTTCTTTATCCATTCATCATTTGTTGGGCACTTGGGTTGCTCCCACGTCTTGGCTATTGTGAATAATGCTGCAGTGAACATAGGGATGCATAAGTCTCTTTGAATTGTTGTTTTCAAGTTCTTTGGATAAATACCGAGTAGTGGGATAGCTGGGTCATATGGTATTTCTATTTTAAGTTTTTTGAGAAATCTCCATACTGTTTTCCAAAGTGGCTGCACCAGTTTGCATTCCCACCAGCAGTGGATGAGGGTTCCCTTTTCTCCACATGCTCTCCAACATTTATTATTTTTTGTCTTGTTGATTATAGCCATTCTAACAGGTGTAAGATGATATCTAAGTGTAGTTTTGATTTGCATCTCCCTGATGGTTAGTGATGTTGAGCATCTTTTCATGTACCTATTGGCCATCTGTATACCTTCTTTGGAAAAATGTCTGTTCGTATCCTCTCCCCACTTTTGATTAGGTTTCTTTTTTTTTTTGTAATTCAGTTGTGTGAGCTCTTTATATATTATGGAAATTAACCACTTTTTGGATATATGATTTGCAAATATTTTCTCCCAGTTGGTGGGTTATTTTTTCATTTTGATCTTGGTTTCCTTTGTCTTGCAGAAGCTCTTTAGTCTAATGAAGTCTCACTTGCTTATTTTTTCTTTTGTTTCCCTTGTCTGAGTGGAAATCATATTTGTAAAGATCCTTTGAAGGCTGATGTCAAAGAATGTACTGCCTGTATTTTCCTCCAGAAGTTTTATGGTTTATGGTCTTACCTTCAAATCTTTGATCCATTTTGAGTCTATTTTTGTGTATAGAGAAAGATAATGGTCTACATTCATCCTTTTCATGTGGCTGTCCAGTTTTCCCAGCACCATTTATTGAAGAGGCTTTCCTTTCTCCGTTGTATGTTCTTGGCTCCTTTCTCAAAGATTAGTTGCCTGTATATGTGTGGTTTTATTTCTGGGCTTTCAGTTCTGTTCCATTGATCTGTGTGTCTGTTTTTATACCAATACCATGCTGTTTTGATTACTGTAGCTTTGTAATATGTTTTGAAGTTAGGGATTGTGATGCCTCCAGCTTTGTTCTTGTTTCTCAGGATTTTTTTGGCTATTCAGGGTCTTTGGTTGCCCTTTATGAATTTTAAGATTCTTTGTTCTACTTCTGTGAAGAATGTCATTGGGATTCTGATTGGGATTGATTTGAATCTGTAGATTGCTTTAGGTAATATGGCCATTTTAGCTATGTTTATTTTTTCAATACATGTACATTGAATATATTTCCATTTCTTTATGTCATTATCAATTTCTTTCAGTAATGTCCTATGGTTTTCCTTGTATAGGTCTTTCACCACCTTGGTTAAATTTATTCCTACATATTTATTTTTTTTGTTGTGATTGTAAATGGGGTTGTATTCTTGAGTTCTCTTTCTATTAGTTTGTTATTAGAGTATAGAAATGCCAGTGATTTTTGTATGTTCACTTTGAATCCTGCAACTTTGCTGTAGTTGTCGATTATTTCTAATAGTTTTCTGATGGATTCTTTAGCATTTTCTGTATATAAAATCATATCATCTGCAAAGAGTGAGAGTTTCACTTCTTCAGTGCCTGTCTGGATTCCTTTGATTTCTTTTTCCTGCCTAATTGCTCTGGCCAAAACCTCTAGTACTATGTTGAATAACAGTGGTGAGAGTGGGCACCCTTGTCTTGTTCCTGTTCTCAGCGGGATGGCTTTCAGTTTTTCCCCACTGAGTGAGATGTTGGCAGTGGGTTTGTCATATATGACCTTTATTATTTTTGAGGTATTCTTCTTCTATACCCATTTTATTGAGAGTTTTTATCATGAACGATGTTGGATCTTGTCAAGTGCTTTATCTGCATCTATAGAGATGATCATGTGTTTTTCATTCCTCCTTTTGTTAATATGGTGTCTCACATTGACTGATTTGTGGATTTTGAACCATTCCTATGTCCCTGGTATGAATCTCACTTGATCATGGCATATGATCTTTTTAATGTATTGCTGTATTCGGTTTGCCAATATTTTGTTGAGGATTTTTGCATCTATGTTCATCAGCAATATTGGCCTGTAATTTTCCTTCTTTATGTTATACTTGTCTGGTTTTGGGATCAGGGTGATGTTGGCCTCGTAGAATGTGTTAGGAATATTTCTGTCTTCCTCAATTTTTGGAATAGTTTGAGAAGAATAAGTAATAAATTGTCTTTGAATGTTTGGTGGAATTCTCCAGAGAAGCCATCTGGTCCTGGACTTTTACTTTTGGGGAGGTTTTTTGTTACTGTTTCAATGTCTTTACTTGTGATTGTCCTATTCAGATTCTCTGTTTCTTCTTTTTTCAGTTTTGGAAGGTTGTAAGAGTCTAAGAATTTATCCATTTCTTCTAGATTGTCAAGTTTGTTCATGTATAGTTTTTCATAATATTCTCTTATAATCTTTTGTATTTGTGTAGTATCCATTGTAATTGCTCCTCTTTCATTTCTAATTTTATTTATTTGAGCCTTCTCTTTTTTCTTTGTGAGTCTGGCTAAGGGTTTGTCAGTTTTGTTTATCCTCTCAAAGAACCAGCTCCTTGTTTCATTGATTCTTTTTACAGTCTTTTTTGTTTCAATTTCATTTATTTCTGCTCTTATTTTTATTATTCCCCTCCTGCTGACTTTGGGCTTTGTTTGTTCTTCTTTTTCTAATTCTGTTAGGTGCAGTTTAAGATTGTTTATTTGAGCTTTTTCTTGTTTGTTAATGTGAGCCTGTATTGCTATAAATTTCCCTCTTAGGACTGCTTTTACTGCATCCCGTAAGAGTTTGTATGGTGTGTTTTCATTCTCATTTGTCTCCAAATATTTTTTGATTTTTCCCTTTATTTCTTTGATGACCCATTGGTTGTTCAGTAGCTTGTTTAGTCTCTACATTTTCGTTCCTTTTCAAGCTTTTTTCTTATAGTTGATTTCTAGTTTCATGGCATTATGGTCAGAAAAGATAGTAGATATGATTTCAATCTTCTTAAATTTATTGAGGTTTGTCTTGTTTCCCAATATATGGTCTGTCCTTGAGAATGTTCCATGTGCACTTGAGAAGAATGTATATTCTGCTGTTTTTGGATGGAGTGCTCTATATATGTCTGTTAAGTTCATCTGGTCTAGTATTTTGTTTTAATTCCACTATCTCCTTGTTGATGTTTTACCTGGATGATCTATCCATTGGTGTCAGTGGGGTTTTGAGGTCCCCTACTATTACTGTGTTGTCATTGATATCTCCTTTTAGGTTTGTTAATAGTTGCTTTATGTACTTTGGTGCTCTGTGTTGGGTGCATACATTTTATAAGTGCTATGTCTTCTTGGTGGAGAGTCCCTTTTATCATTACATCCTGCCCCTCTATGTCTCCCCTTACCAGTTTTATCTTGAAGTCTACTTTGTCTGATATGAGTATCCTTGTATGCACTTAATTTGTCTATGAAATTCTTTAGCAGCTTTTCTACTTTAAGTCTATTCAGCTTAGTTTACATAGAGACGTTATATTTTACAAATTTGTGTTCAGTCAGTTATACAATATGTAACCAAATTACCTAATTAAAACTATAGCATGTTTAAATGGTTTTGGAGATGTGACAGCTGACTCTTGGTAAGCATAGAGCTCATTTGTGGAGGCAGAAGTGCTTGGGCATATTAAAAAGGAATATTGGCAGAGAGAATGAAACACGTCAGGTAATCAGGGAGCTGGTTAGTGGAGGTTAGTTCAGAGAGCTTCAGTTGAACATAATTATTGTGGATGACAGAAACAGATCATCCATTCCCAGATAATAAATTTTTCGTCTTGCACTGAGAGCAGAACTTCAGAATCTTACACAGATTTGATTAGCTTCACCTTATATGCTGTAAAGAATAAGTCAACAAGGGATTCTTATTTTTTATATTTTAACATGCGAAACTCAAAGTAAAAATATTTTATGTTTCATTTGTGATCTGTAGAAAAAGAGGGATGTTAAAGAGCAGGCGTCATGCTCAGCCAGAGTATTAGTGTTATTTTAATGACTTGGACTCCTTCTCAAGTTTTTTACAGGTTGGTGGATAATGATTGACGCAGCCGTGGTGTATCCTAAGCCAGAACAGTTGAACCATGCCTTTCACACATGTGGTGTATTTTCCACATTGGCTTTCTTCATGTAAGTATGAAGGTAATTCTCAATTCAAGATTATTTTTGTAAAAACATGTTTTCCTTTAAGTTTAATGCTATTTAGAATAACTTTTTAATTTAGTATATGGATTCCTCTTTAAAGATTGGCACTTGAGCTAACAACTGCTACCAATCTTCTTCTTTTTTTTTTTTTCAGCTTTTTCTCCCCAGATCTCCCCAGTACGTAGTTGTATATTTTAGTTGTGGGTCCTTCTAGTTGTGGCATGTGGGATGCCACCTCAGCATGGCCTTGTGAGTGGTGCCAGGTCTGTGCCCAGGATTCGAACCGGCAAAACTCTGGGCTGCTGAAGTGGAGTGCACCAGCTTAACCACTTGGCCACACGGCTGGCCCCTGGATTCTTCTTTAACATTATAAATATATATATTTCCATTTTACTAAGATTTTTATCAAGAATGAGTGTTGAATTTAGTCATATATCTTTTTAGCATCTATAAAAATTATGATTTTTCTCCTTATATTTGTTAAACTAGTTGATCACTATATTTTATCAGTCTCAAGATTATTTTTGATATTTTAATATATCTGAATATGAGGGTGCTGCTTATAGTCAATGGTATCTTAAAATTACAATTGATAATATCTTTTCTTTCTTGGCAGTGTAAAAAATAACGGTACATCTTAAAAATCAGTGGCATCTTAGATTTAATGGGATATATTACATTTCTAGCTTTTTTTATTAGTGAATCATCCTTGAGTATTGTAATACACTCAGCTTTCACTGTGGAGTATTATTGTTCTTAATGTGTTGCTTGACTGCCAGTATTTGGAGGGCAGGCAGGATTGGCCTCAAATGAGATTGATCTGTGGCTTTTCTTTTTTATTAAATCATTTTCAGATTTATCTGTTATCTCACTTCATAAAAGAGTTTGGAAGCTTTTTATGGATGTCTTTTAATAATTTTTAAAAATAAGTTAAACAGTAAGATTATATAATTTCCTTATACTGTCAGGAGTTTTAAAAAAGATTCAATTGTAAAAGATGGAACTACTGATATCCATTCAGGATGCTAAGAAAAGGCAATTCCTGCTACAAATGCACTGTGCTCTAACAAAAATGGAAAGAGAAGCAAAATAAAGTGGGTCTGTTTATTGTATGTAGAGCACATGTTCTCTGAGTTTGAGAAATGGATCAGAGAAAATCACTTGACTTTTAGTACAAAGAGAAACTTTTTAGCTCTTGATTGTGATGAGAACCTTAAAATGGGATAACTCACACTGAGTCATTCATGCATGAATGTAAGAGGCAAAGGAATCAGAAAATTGGCCCGTCTTTCATAATCTCTGGAGACAAGGGATAGTAATCTTAAAATTGTGTGTTTTCTTGGTGTACTTTAGGACAGTAAGACTAATGTAACATTTCTATCCACTAGGATATTTGTTAAGTTAAAAGATATGTTCAGTTATTCATATACTGACCTTAGCTAGAAAATGTTTTCCTTCTCAATGATATGTAAGTATCTGTGAATATTTTAGCAGCATGAAAGCTTATTAGGTAATTTTGTATTGTTCTAGGATAAATGCTGTGTCCAACGCTCAGGTGAGAGGTGACAGCTATGAAAGCGGCTGTCTAGGAAGAACAGGTAAAGGCACTTTGAGTTGTGAATGTATATGCTGGCTAAAGGGATTTATCAGCAGAAAAAGCAAAGTGTCTAGCGAGTCTTTATTTAGGACTGATAGTGATTATATAGAAATTTTTTTTAACTTAAAAAAAGTTATAGTGTTATTTAAATTCTTAAGACAGTTAAAGTTACTACCAGAAGTTACTATTTTTGTCATGTTATACTGCCCATAGTATATAGATACAACGTTACTGTTCAGAATCAGTGGATCTTGGACTCCAGATTACTCGTCTAGTGCTGATGATGGATTTATTCTCATCCTAAATGTTGACCAATAATAATAGTTACGAGATGGCTGACCATGATTACTAACAGCAAAGTGTGGACAATTAGGAAGTCAAACCTAGGACTACAGTGTTTTTCACATTCTGTTCTGGTCACCTGAGTAACTGCCCGCAGACTGCAACAAAATTGTTCAGAAGAAACACGCTGCCTGTCTATGTATAAAGTCTTTGTTTGGAATTTGAATTCTTTTGAATTGTCTTCCAGTGGTATTTTTCTTTTAGTCAGGTTATAACACATTCTTTTAGAATCCAGGGGGTTGTTTTCAGTGGAATTTCCATGCTCTATGTAAAAAGCACAGGCCTAGAAATCCTGTTTCTAACGTTTAAGGACTGGGGAGGGCGATTTGTGGTTTTGGTCAGACATTTGGAGTAGGTGGGAGAGGAATTTTGAAGGCTGATTAAGAATAATAGCAAATACTTGTAGAATACTTAGTGTGTACCAAAGACTGTTCTGAATGCTTTACACATATTAACTCATTTAATTGTCACTATAGTCCTGTGAGGTAAGTGCTCTTATTGTCCTCACGTTTACATGAGGGAACTAAGGCACGGAGAGCTTAATTAACTTGTCCAAAGTCACAAAGCAAGTAAGTGGTAGAGCCAGGATTTGAATACCGACAGTCTGGCCCCAGAGCCAGTGCTTTTAGCCACCAGGCTATGCTTGTTTCTAGTCGAGAACTGTTTGGTCTCTTTGGTTAGTGCTGTGTATGTGTGTATATGTGTATATATATTTATTTTTGTCAGTTTGATGGAGTTTAATAAATATAAAATAAAGTCACCAATTTAGAATGTACAGTTTGATGAGTTTTAATGAATGCAGACAGTTGTGTAACTACCACTGCCGTCATGAAATAGAACATTTCCATTACTCCAGAAAGTTCCCTCGTCCCCATTTGCAGCTAATCCCCATCCCCACACCTCCTGGCCACCACTGGTCTCCTTTCTATTACTGTAGTTTTGCCTTTTCTAGAATTTCATGTGAATGGAATTATAAAGTAAGTATCATTACATTTTAAACCAAATAAAGGAGCTGTGATGAGCTTAGCTTTTTAAAAACATTAAAAATTTTTTTTGGTGGTAAGAACACTTAGCATGAGCTCTAGAGACCCTCTGGACAAATTTTTCAGTGCACAATATAGTATTGCTAATGTGGTGGACAGCAGATCTCCAGAACTTACTCATCTTGCGTAACTGAAACTTTATACCCATTGAACACCAACTTCCTGTTTCTTCCTCCCCTGGCCCCTGGCAGCCACCATTCTACTCTCTCTTGCTATGAGTTTGACTATTTCAGATACCTCATATAACGGGAATTGTGCCTGAAAAAAGAAGGAAATCTTGCTATATGCAACAACACAGATGAGCCCGGAGGAGATTATGCTAAGTGAAATAAACCAGTTACAGGAGGACAAATTTGCTTTCTTTTCTACCTGATGCTTTAAATGTTGATACAGATTTTATGACTTCTCTCCCATTGGGATCCTTGAATTGGGGAGGAGGGGGTATAGTGACAAATGACAGATGAACCTAAGTTAAAAGTGCCCTGTGTGTGTGTGAACACGCATGTCTAGTGCCCCTGCCTCAGCAGGTAATGTCAGGAATGAGGGAGAGTACAGAATAATACAGCATGTATTAGCAGGTAAAATGTTGGACATAGGAAACACAGTAAGTTCATTTGGTCATTTTTCTTTAAAGAAGATTCCACAGACATTGCTGTGGGTTATATTAGTATTAGCTATTTTCTATAGGAAATTTCATTGTAACTTACCCAAAGTTTTTTAGCTTAAATGTAAAACTTGTATTTGCCTTGGGTCTGTCTGGTTCCAAAGCCCATAGTTTTTACCCTCACCAATTGGCTATTACATTTTATTCCATGATTTTTCCCTACCCATTAAAATTCACAATACAGTTTATATTTATAAGTGGTGCATATGTGTAAATTCTGTCTAGTGCTTCAGAAATTAAGGGCAAACTGTCTTATGGGATGGTGGTCCCATAAGCTTAGTACCATATAGTGTAGGTGTGTAGATGGCTATACCATCTAGGTTTGTGTAAGTGCATTCTGCGATGCTTGCACAACAAAAAAATCGCCTGACAACTGATTTCTCAGAATGTATCCCCATCCTTAAGCAACGCCTGACTGTAATAAATATACTACAAATGAAACTGCTGAATGGTAAAGCTACAAAAAGGAATGGGAGCTAGGTAGAAAAAAGATTGTGTACTTAGAATCTAGGACAAGATGGATGCTCTTGATTGTTCATTAACTTTGACACTGAGCCTCCTTGTAATCAAAGCAAAAAAGAGAAGATGTTATAGTTTTTTATTTTTTGCTATACAAAAGCATACTGATTTTTCAAGGGAAATTTTTTCTTGTGTATTTGAAAATTTGTGTGTGGTCATATGTAAAGGACATGAGTGAAAATAATTCCAAGCGTTTTTGACGTTTTACTCACTTTAGATAAAAGCCGTGATTGAATATAGTTTGGAGGATATCTTTCTCCAAGGAACTAATCATTACTTTATATTTATGGAGTTCTGCTTAGTATTATAATAAAACTCAGATAATATAGAGACCTATTTCTGTCAAATATCAGCTGTTCTAAGCATGCTGAGCTTTGATCAGTGCTTCCTTTGTATCTGGAGTCTAAAACATATGAATTTCTGTTCACTTAGTAGCAGATTATCTGCAATCGAGGCAACTTTGCTTTCTCTTGTGGTAGTTGGCTTGGGTTCTATTTTCACCTCAGCGGAGCTTTATTTCCCGTCCACATGTGATGGGCTGTCAGTATACCTGTGATCAGGGTCTGGCACAGAGGTTAACCTGCTTTCCTACAAATGTGTCGAATCTACTCAAATGTCCAGACAATTGCTTTAGTGAGATTCTGTTGTGTAGATTCTAGAAGTTCATACAGTAGAGAGGTGAAGAGATGCTTCTGACCTTGAACTTTTCAGGGGTGTGTGGTGCAGTTTGACTGCCTCAGCCATAGAAAGAGACTGAATATACTTTTGAAGAATGGCTCCTGTTTACACCATATTAAATAACGGCATGATTTTAACATTGATGAAAAGGGGACACATTGGTCCTTATTCATTTGTAGTCTCTCCTTCCTGTGTGCTGATGGTTATCTGAAATACACTTGCTACTTTTAATAGAGCAATTACTTTGAAAATGTATATAACAGGGTAATTTTTCAGTTAGGATTTAATTAGTTTCATAAAAAAATTACTTATGAAGCTTGCCTGGTTTAGTTTACTCAGCTATTAGTGTCTCTAGCCAGTGGAAAGGTAACTTTCTCTTTTTCCCTTTCTGGGTATGGCTTAACCCCTTTTAGGTTTTTTGGGGTTTTTTAAAAATCCTCATTCAGTTAATTGTTAGAGCAGGTGTATATAAATATGTTACTGTCTTCAATATGCATAACATATATTAGGTTAACAGTGTTTCTAGTGTTGTGTATTCCTAAGATGTAGAGCTGTGGAAATGAGCAAAATCATAAATCCTCTTGTTCATACAGGTGCTCGAGTTTGGCTCTTCATTGGTTTCATGTTGATGTTTGGGTCACTTATTGCTTCCATGTGGATTCTTTTTGGTGCATATGTTACCCAAAGTAAGTATTTATTCCTCCTTTATTTCATAGGAGAGATTCAGATATGTCTTCTGTATTTGACTTAGTCTCAACTCCATCTGGAGTAAAATTTAGTTTAATTATTCAGTTAACTTGAAGGTCTGACTCTGTGTGAAGGTATGTGAGCTGTTTAATAAAACTTCTCAGTGGGGCCGTTGAGTGCAGTGGGACAGCCTGGTTAGGAAATCCGAGCCTCTGACAAAACCGTAACTCTCAGCCATCTCTAGAGTTTCTGATCTCCTTCCTTCCCCTGGACAGCTAGGCTCCATACGCGAGGCTGTTTACTGAGGGTTGTAGTGATAAGAGCGAGAAACCTGTCCAGGTTTGCAGTCACTTATACACAATTCTAAAATCCACAAAGTGCTGAAAGTGAAGTTTTTCATAACTAGTTTGGCAGCAAAGCCTGACCTAAATTGATATGAGGCTCATTATGGTCTTTATTCCATGTAATAAGTATTCAGGTCTTTTCTTGCAGGAATATGGTTGTATTTGCTGGTCCAAACTCAGCTAGGGGTGCTTTGTAATATTTATGCCCCATGTTACCATTCTTAAATCTGAAAAATTCTGAATTCCAGAACATACTTTACCCCAAGGATATCAGATAAGGGGTTGTGGACCCCAAGATCTTTCTTTCCAGTGATACCGCCTTCTCTCTAACCCCAGCCGGTCATTTTTCAGTTATAGGTACAGGAGGAGTTTTCTTTTTGAGGAAGATTAGCCCTGAGCTAACATCTGCTTCCAATCCTCCTCTTTTTGCTGAGGAAGACTGGCCCTGAGCTAACATCCATGCCCATCTTCCTCTACTTTCTATGTGGGACGCCTGCCACAGCATGGCTTGCCAAGCAGTGCCATGTCTGCCCCCAGGATCCAAATCGGTGAACCCTGGGCTGCTGAAGCGGAATGTGCAAACAAACCGCTCCGCCGCGGGGCTGACCCCAAGAGGAGTTTTTTAAGGGCAAGACTGAAGATGTGTGTGTAGCCTTCATGTGGAAACTTGCTGCAGTGCAGTGCGCTCATAGTGCGCCATCCTGAGTTTTCTGGCTGTTCAGGCGCCACAGCTTTCATTCAGGGAGGGGTTGAAAAGTACGACCCAGGCCTAGCACGTACCTCTGGAAGCATCAGAGGAACCTTTTCACTGGCTCTCTCCCTTCACTCCAAAGACAGAGTCAGTTTCAGATAACACAGCTTAGTTATCTTCCGGCCCCTCTATCTCTGGAATCTTTTTGTCTCTCTGCTAAACTGTCGCATCTCCTTGTCTGACCCACAGCTGACTTTTTAATACTCTTGATAGGATCCCTTAATTCCTGTAGTTTGATCAGTGGATGATCTTTAGAATACCTCTGTCTTTCACCTGGCACAAAGTCAGTACAGGAGGATAGAGGTTGACTAATGTTTAAATAATACTCCCCACCAGATATATCCAAAATGTGTTATTTTAGCTAATTAAAAATACTAACGGAGCACACAGTTATAGTATGAAACTCATTTGAAGGAAAGTGCTTTTTTATAAAACACTTTATTGAGATATAATTTGCATATCATGTAATTCGTGCATTTTAAGTGTATGTACAGTTCACGGTTTTTAGTATATTCACAGAGTTGTGCTACCATCACCACAATCCAGTTTTAGAACATTTTTACCACCCCAGAAAGAAACCCCTTACCCATTAGCAGTCACTCCCCATTACCCTTCTCCACAAGCCCTAGGCAACTGCTAATCTACTGCTGTCTCTAGATTTGCCCATTTCATATAGATGGAATCCTATAGTGAAGTGCATTTGAAGCTCATTTGATCCCTGACTCTGAGAAGCGTGGGCTGGGTTGGAAAGTCTGCATAGTTACTTGAAGCAACACATGAAACTTTCCCGTTTCTATTATGAAAAGAGGAATAAGTTATTCCCGAAAGGCGTGTAGGGAAGTATTAAGTTTGTAAAGGTTGTACACTTATTTGTATCTTAATCTTTAAAGAACTAGTACATATTGAGATATTTCTCAATTATGGATCTCCACATTTCTACAGCATTTTTTTTCTGTTTGTAAACTGAATATGCTTTTACTTCAGACAGCATTTTAAGCACATATTTCAAATGTTTCACTGTACAGATTTTCTTGAGCTGTTAATAATCGTAATAGCAGCTAACATTTATGTAGCAGTTTATGGGCCAGGTACTGTTGTAAGCACTATACACAGTCACACATTGCTCACACTCTGTGGGGTGGGTGCTGTTATAATGCCCATTTTACTGCTGAGGAAACTGAGGCATAATGAGGTTAAGTAATTTGCTCATGCTCATACATTTAGTCAGTGGTAGAGTCAGGATTCAAATCCAAGTGTCTGGCTCAACTTGGAGCTCTTAACCATGCTGCTATATTATTTTCTATGATGTTCTATGATATCAAAAGCTAAAAATTGAACATTTCTTCATCTTATCCAGTATTTTAAGTCAACATTTACAGTTTTATAAAAGTTAAATAACCACGAAAATTTAAGTCATTTCCAATTTTTTCTTTTCCTGTGAAGATAGTGACCATTTCCTTCAGGAGCAATTCAGTGAAAGAACATTGAATTATAATGACCTTTTTTTTTTAGCTTATTTTTTTATTTATTTTTTGCTGAGGAAGATTTGCCCTGAGCTAATATCTGTTGCCAGTCTTCCTCTATTTTGGATGTGAGCTGCCACCACAGCATGGCCACAGACGAGTAGTGTAGGTCTGTGCCTGGGAACTGAACCTGGGCTGCCAAAGCAGAGTGCACCAAACTTATCCACTAGACCGGCAGGGCTGGCCCGATGATCCTTTTTATATCTGTTGTGTTTTTACAATAAAACTCCTGAATCCATGAAAGGAAATGAATGAACAGACTATTAAATCATCAAGAATTTAATCGTATCTTCCTAACATTTTGTATTTCTGTATTGGCCATAGGAAGTGAAGAGCTGAGCTGCTGCTTCCTCAGCAGTTTTGGTGCAACTAGAACTATAGCGATTACTTTAGACAGAAAGGAAACCTGATAAGTTCACTGTTGTTCATCCAGAGTGGGAGCAATGCTTTGTTTTGGGAGAATGAGATTGGCATTTTCTTATTTGTTTCATTACAGATTTCTTAGAGTTAATGAATAATAGCAGTATTTTGTAATATACAGAGCATGTCATTATGAATGGCGCTAGTACTTTGTTACTGCTGTTTGCCTTTTGTAATCTTCTAATCTGTTTTACTTTTTATGTGCAGACACTGATGTTTATCCAGGACTAGCTGTGTTTTTTCAAAATGCACTTATATTTTTTAGGTAAGTTGCCTGATTTCTTAACCACACCTGTAACATTTACAGAAATGTCATCTTTATTATAAGAACAGCATATGCAGTGGAACGTGTAAATCCTTTGGATTAGTTACCATTTATACAACTTCTTTTAAAAGGTGAAAATTTGTCTCTTGCATAAGTGCATACATAAGCCATTTAATTAGGAGTCCTCTATGTGCCAGGACCTCAGCTGGATGCTTTAAGTATGTTACCTTTTGAATTCTCATTTAATTATCTTAAGTACATAAGCCAGGTGGTGGTCCCATTTTCATAGATGAGGAAATAGGCTGGAGCTTACTTAAGGACACGCAGCTAGCAAATGCAGAGCTGGGATTTGGACCCACGCTGCTGCTTCCATAGCCTGTGTTTTGTTAAAAAATTGTATCAGGTACTTTTATTAAAAAAAGAAAAAATAAATAAGAATTAATACATTGTATGAATGTCATATACAAAACTTGGTTGGGGAATTGGAGTTTTTGATTAAGTTTTTAAGATTAAGCATAAAAATAAAACAATATTAAAAGTATTTTTTAGGGGCAGTCTTCTAAAAAGCCCTCAAAATGAAACCTGTATCCTGTGATTTTCAGAATGAATGTCTTTTAATGTAAAGATAGGTAATTTAGGCATCGATTTATAAAATTATATCCCCCCAACCCTACAAAATCATGCAGATCTAAGTCTTGAAGAACACTGGCTTTAAGCAGTTTGCTTATGATATACTATGGTGTAGTTTTCTTCTTACTTCTCCTTGGAGTTGATGAGTTTCTAGGATCTGTGGCTTTATAGTTTTCATCACATTTGGAATCTTTTCAGCCATTATTTCTTCAATATTTTTTCTGTCCACCCTGCCCTCCTGGGATTCCCCTCACATGTATATTGGGCTGTTAAAGTCGGCCCGCAGCTCACTAACGCCTGGCTTTTTCTTCATGTTTGTTCGCGCTCTGTTTCGGCAGGGATAGTTTCTGTTGTATCTGTACGTCTTCTGATCTGCTGCAGTGCCTAGTTTACAGTTACTCCCGTCCATCTCAAACATCATACTGTGCATCTCTGTTAGCTTGATTAGGGTCTTTTTTTATATTTTCCATGTCTCTCCTTAACATGCTCATGCTTTCCTCTACCTTCTTGAACATGTGAAGTGTGTTTATAACTATTTCAGTGTCCCTGTCTAAGTGTGTTAATTCTGAGTCTATTCCTAGTGATTGTTTCTATTTTCTCTTCATTTTGGGTGTCTTTCCCCCTCTTTGCTTCTTTGCATGCAGCTGGTTGGGGGCTGGATTTCTGGTATTCCTTAACGTTTTTGAGCTTTGTTCTGGATGCAGTTAGGTCCCTTGGAACAGTTTGATCCTCTCAAATCTTGCTTTTAAGTTTTGTTGGCAGGACCAGAGCAGCTTTAGTCTATGACTGATTTATCCCCTTACTGAGACAATACTCTTCTGAGTATTCTTCCTGATGCTCCTTGTATTCTGAGGTTTTCCACTCTGCTTGGGAGATTGTGCAGTCTTCCCAGGCCTGTGGGAGCTCTGGAAATTGTTCTTTCCAGTGGTTCTTTCCCTTTTCTTGAGTAGTTTCCTCAGACGATCAGTACTTGGCGGAAGACTCAAGGGAAACCCCCTGCAGATCTCCTGAGCTCCCTCTCTCTTTAGCTCTCTCTACTCTGCCTTGCAAATTCTAGCCACTTTGGACTCCTTGAACTCTTGGCTCCATTTTCTCAACTTGGGGAGGCTGCTGTGCTCCACCTGGGTTCCCTCTTGTTGCACTGTGGCCTGGACACTCATGGTTTTGAAAGATGTTTGACAGCTTGTGCTATGTTGTTATTGTACTTCTAGGCCACAACCTTCTGAGGATACAGTAACTTTTCATGAAGAGATCTTAGGCACTGTTTAGAGAGCAAATCTAAATTCAAATTCAGCCCTTTGCAGTGGTAGATGACTTTGCATAAATGACACGTGGATGAAGAGAAACCTTGTATGTATAAAGGCCTGTGCTCATGTGGGCAGTGACTACTGCATCAGCACTGTACTCTGCCCAGGGGCTGGCAAGTTGTCTAGCCAGCTGTGTGCTTCCTGTGTGCTGGGCCTGTTCTGAGCACCCAAATGCAGCTCCTGCTTCTTTGGCCGCTCTTCCTCTGTTCCTTGTGCCAGCTGATCCTCCAGCCCTGGCCATGAACTTTCAGTTTCTGAAGGCTGTGTTCTAGGCCTCTTCTCTACTCTTTCTTTCTCTCTCTAGGTGAGCTCCTTTATGCTCAGGACTTCGCTTACTGCCCGTCTGCCAGTGAGTCCCCGATGTCTGTCTCCAAGTCTAAACTGTGTATCCAGATTCCTCTTTATCACCTCTTAGGTAGCTGACATTTGAAATCTAACACTTCCAACATGCCCACAGGTCAACTCATGGTCCAGGGTGCTCTCTCTGCTCCTGTCTCGCCCCCCGCCCTTTGCTGAGATAATGCCCACTCTTCCTTTAGATCTCAGTTCATGGTCCAGGGTGCTCTCTCTGCTCCTGTCTCGCCCCCGCCCTTTGCTGAGGTAATGCCCACTCTTCCTTTAGATCTCAGTTCATGGTCCAGGGTGCTCTCTCTGCTCCTGTCTCGCCCCCGCCCTTTGCTGAGATAATGCCCACTCTTCCTTTAGATCTCAGTTCATGGTCCAGGGTGCTCTCTCTGCTCCTATCTCGTCCCCCGCCCTTTGCTGAGATAATGCCCACTCTTCCTTTAGATCTCAGTTCATGGTCCAGGGTGCTCTCTCTGCTCCTGTCTCGCCCCCGCCCTTTGCTGAGATAATGCCCACTCTTCCTTTAGATCTCAGTTCATGGTCCAGGGTGCTCTCTCTGCTCCTGTCTCGCCCCCGCCCTTTGCTGAGATAATGCCCACTCTTCCTTTAGATCTCAGTTCATGGTCCAGGGTGCTCTCTCTGCTCCTGTCTCGCCCCCGCCCTTTGCTGAGATAATGCCCACTCTTCCTTTAGATCTCAGTTCATGGTCCAGGGTGCTCTCTCTGCTCCTGTCTCGCCCCCGCCCTTTGCTGAGATAATGCCCACTCTTCCTTTAGATCTCAGTTCAGCCACCACTTCCTCAAGAACACCTTCTTGACCTCTCTCACTAGGTCAGATCTTTATATTTTACTCTCTTGGTACCACGTGCCTTGCCTTTATAGCATTTTTTTGCAGCTGGAATTTGTCTCTCTCGTTAGAGTCTCAGCTGCGTTAGTGAGCACAGTTGTCTTGTTTTGACTCACGGTCACATTTCTAGCACTTACCCAGGTGCCTGTTGCCTGGCCAGTACTCAGTGTACAGTAATTATTTGTTAAATGGGTGAAGAAGTGCAGCGTGATCTGTTGTAGGGTGCTTCTGTTATTGTAGCTCAGATATGTAGGATCCTAGAGTTATAAAGTGGCCCTAGTGCCTGCTACTATGAGAAATGCCCCTTTTCTTACAAGTTTCCTATCTAGTAACCTTCTAGGCTTTAAGAAAGGATATTTAATTATGCTCAGCCATCAGGTCAACAAAGTGCTTTATAAAACAAGCAAATTCAGACCAGCACCACCCTACTCTTTAATTTTAGAAATTGATACAAAGGGATCAGTGAGTTACCTGCCAAAGGGTATTTAGAAAATGAATTCTTTGTTTCTTGTTCCATGTGTTTTTTCCTTATGATTTATTTTAATATCTTTCTAGCACTCTGATCTACAAATTTGGAAGAACTGAAGAGCTATGGACCTGAGATCACTTCTTAAATCACATTTTCCTTTTGTTATATTCTATTTGTAGATAAGTTTTTATCTCTCAGTATAATTTACACATTGCCAAATGGAATAGATTGTACTTTAAGTGTTTCGTTTCTTTACACTTTTATGCTCTGAGTTTTGAAATAGTTTTATGAAATTTCTGTCCTTTTTTTCATTGACTCGATTGTTGATATGTACATATTATAAGATTATATAGACGGGGTGACGACTATCCGTTTTTCATTCCTGAAGACTTAAAGCTGGGCCTGTTCCCTGAGCCAGGGTTGTATCATCATGTCATTTTAGGGTTAACTATTTTGTCTCAGTATCTCTGATTTCTGAAAACGTGCAAAAAATACAGCTCCATGTATCTGAAATAAGCACTGAGCCATTAAAAAGGCTATTTCAGCAAGTTGTAATTTATTTTGGCTTAAAAATGAGATTTTTTTAAAGGAAAAATGTTTGTTCTTATGTATTATAAAGAAGTGGACTTTTATGTGAAGATTTTTTACATGGCTGAAGGACTAGTTTGAAAGCCTCTTTTAAAAACACTTCCTCTAATATGACTTGATTTGAGAGGGGATAATACATGATCAGATAGACTCAGTTTTGTATGCTTAATGTAAAAAGAGTGTAAGGCTGCTCAGCAGCATGCTTCTTGTAAAGCAGCTGAACTGACCTATCTACCAGGCTTCTCTTTTGACAGCTTACTGTTGTCTGACATTACAAAATTCCATGTCAAGCAAGTTTGAGACAACTGCAGTTTAAAAGCATGAAACATATAACAAAAAAGTGGAATAATTAGTTTCAAGATGAAGCACTTCTTCCCACAGGGAATTGTTATGACCTAGTGAAAAATTAGGCATTCCAGCCACTTAGTTACTGACTGCAAGTCTCTTTTCGCTCTAGCTCTCAAGCTTTGGGTGAACTCTTCCTGCAAAATATGCCTTTAACCTGAAAGTTCATACTCCAGTCAGAAGCTTTTTTGCTGAGTTTGAAACACTGTATTTGCACTGTGTGTTCGTTCCTAGGAGAAGCGTCAGAGGGAGACGTGGGTCTTTATTGCTACTTTGCTTTCCTTTGTTATGCAGGCTCGTGTTGTACTTTTTCTTCCAGAGCGATTTGATGAAGCCTCTTGTTCTAAGACAGAATACTATCAGTGGTATTATATGCAGCTTCTAACTCGAGCCTTATTTTGCTTAACTTCTCTCCTCTCGGAGAGAATTTGCCACGCACAGAGTATGAAGCAGTTGTGGAATGCTGTGCCTTTGTCTAGACACCATCTTGTGTAATTACTTCTTTCTGTGTCTTCGTCGTTTCCCTCAAAATGTCAGTAAACTTTGTCTCGCCTCCAACAAATTGTAAGACTGATTACTTGTTTCCACTCTCTTGTAACCTGTTGCAGTAAATGTTACTTCTCAACCATTCTAATATTATTAAATCTGTTGGAGAAAATGAGCCATAAAAATTGGTTTGCTGTTCATTTTTTAATTATTCAAGGGAACCTGGTCAAAGAAGCAGTTTATCTTTATAAAAGAAGGAGAAATATATTATACTCAGATTTGTAAAATGCTAGTATGAAGGCTACTGAAAGGCATCCCGGTAGACCGACCGAAAATAGTGATTGTTTTTTCTATTCTTGACTCTGGCATGAATTTGATTTTTAATTGTTAGCAAATCCACTTAATTTCTCTCTGCTTCCTTATTGTAGAAAAAGGAGACAATGTCAGTATCTACTCTTAGAGATAGTGTCAATTAGAAAAGATAGAGTCCTTCATAATAATTTAAAAATACGTGTAATTCCCTTAATATAAGGATCTCCCTGTTAGACAGGTTCAATGGCTGTTGAATCCGAGTCTTTTGATGTTGTTTGTTAGACCAATATTACCAGAGCATTTTGTTTTATTAATTCTACTCTTTCTAAGATCCTCATTGTGTTCCTTGTGTTGTTACCACTGAAGAAAAAATACAGAGGCTAAATTTTTCCACGATATACACTTTTGACATGTAGCAACATAACGAAGTAGCAAAATTGAAGACTGCGAGAATTGATGCTATCAAACCACGTAGCGCTGGCTGCTTGAGCAAGAAGCCCACGAGTGCGACGGGGAAGCGTTGAACTCAGCTTCCCTACATTTTTCCATCATGGGAGGATTTTCAATCATAATGTCAACTCAGGAGCATTTTTTTTCATTGCTCCATATTAGATTTCATTACTTCATATCAAATAATCTCTGCCGATCTTAGACGTTTATGCCAGTTTTGCCTATACTCTCCTGTCATCGCACTCTGATTTTGATTCTGTTTAAAATTTATCAAAGAATAGGGCTGCTCTTTAGACATGTTAATTTCAAGTAACAACCTGTTAAATCCTAAGGGAGAAACATGGGATGCTAATTTTATTCTGCTCTGAACAATTAGTCACGTTTTGTTGTTAACAGCCTGTGCTGGTGTTTCAGAGCAGTCTCTTCACTGTATCATCTGTTCAGACAGGACAGATTGAAGCAGAAGCTGCTTGATAGAGAAGTTGAGTTACTTTGTCGATTGTTTTTCTTATTTCTTTGATTGAAAACAAAAGAATAGCCTGAAGTGATGGATGGGTTCACTGCTTTTCTGAAGAATTACTGAGGAAAATCAGAATATGCTTATTTAATCTTAGAGTAGTTCTTTACCTTGAGGAAATTGTAACACAATTTTTGCTTTTACAAGCACCCCCATCTTCCTAAAAATATTCGGTATCATATTTCCATTTTATTAAAAACAAGCTAATTTATATTTCCAGCTTGGTTCTTTGATATGTGAAGACAGTGTTTACTTTTCTTATCCTCCCTTCCCCTCAATTTCATTATGACCAAGCCCGAAATGTTTTCTCCACCTCTTTTCCCTTGCCCACGTTCTAAGTGTAATCAGTTCTCATGGTTCACAATAGGTAGTTTCTATAAAGTCTCTCCAACACCGAATTAGCAAAAACTGAATCAGTTTCTCCTGTGGGAAAGACAGGGTTAGGCCACACTTTCCTCAACCATCAATACATAGCCTTGCTTCGGTGTTTCTGTTTAAAAACATCATGTGTAATATGGTTGTAAAACAGCACTATAGCTGGTGCCTGAAGAGAGCTTCTGTGTAACGCCTGTTCTCCGTCAGGCCGGTCACAGCCTTCCAGCGCTTAGGAACACTGGACAGCACTTCAGCTCTGCAATTGGGGCCATTTTACACAGCGAAATCACCGGCAAAACTCAAAAATGTGAAAAACGTGGCACTAAATAGACCATGTAAAGGACACTTTTTTCAGTATGAAAACTGAATCAAGAAGGTGAAGTGTCGCTTTGTCCCAGCTCTGATGAGATGGTGCCGGTCAGGTGACTCAAGTTCTTAGCCGCTCCACACATTTCAGCAAACAACTGGAAAGTACCCTGAGTGTTGATTTGGGAGTTAGAGATAAATATTATTTTTTTTTCCTGCAAAGTTTATTTTTTTTTTAAAGATTGGCACCTGAGCTAACATCTGTTGCCAATCTTCTTTTTTTTCCTTCTTCTTTTCCCCAAAGCCCCCCAATACATAGTTGTACATTCTAGTCGTAGGTCCCTCTGGTTGTGCTATGTGGGATGCCGTCTTAGCATGGCTTGATGAGCAGTGCTGGGTCCACACCCAGGATCCAAACCAGGGAAACCCTGGACCACTGAAGCAGAGCTCGAACTTAACCCCTTAGCCACGGGGCTGGCCCTCAGATAAATATTTTAGCAAGTAGGTGAACTTGCAAATAATGAAGATCGACTGTAGCTAAAGAGCTACTACTGACCTTATTTTCCTTCCATCATTTCTTTCCTCATTCAGTACTCTACTGCCAGCTAAGACTTACCGTTTTAGGGCCCTGTTTCATAATGTCATTTTTCTGTTCAACACTGATAGCTAACATTTATTCAGACCTTTCTTTGTCCCTGTATTGTCTCATTTCATTCTCACAGTTTGGAGGTAAGAACTTGTATCTGGAGCAGTTAAGTAATTTGCCGACCGAAGGGATCAGGGCACAGGCCCTTTCTCCTTGAGTGTAAAGCCCTTTTCTTCTCTCCAGCATTTCCCAGGCTGCTCCAGAACACTGGTATTCCTGTAGGAAAAAGTGCGCCGTGGCCAGAGAAGCTTGCGAAACCCTGGGCTGAACTAGATTAAAACACTTTTTTTCTGTAAAGTGTTTCCTTAGAGCTTTTGTAAATTGTGCCTTGGATAGTTTTAAGAGGGCAGTGTCAATTGCATGATATTTTCCATAGCCGAGATTTGGAAATTGATCTCCTAGAACACTGAGAAATAAAATTGGGGAAACTGCTGTTATGGTGGCTTGAGAAGACTGGAAAGCAGGAAATTAATACAAGGAGAGTTGTGAATGCTGCTGGCCTTGGGAAAAGCCAATGGCCAGCTTGACTTGGAGAATAAAACTGGTGAGGATGAGATAGGAGGAAGAGTATTTCCAGTTGCATTGTTAGTAGGGATTCTGGTTTTGGAGTTGGGATTCTTGGGGGACTATGCATTTTTGTGTAGGTGGCTTTACTTTTCCCTAATCCTGGCACTGCCACTTGTTAGCTCTGTGCCCTGAGGCTGTTTGCCTGTCTGTAAGTGTTGTTTGAGAATTAACATATGGAAATACCTTAGTACAGTGCCTGGAAACAGTGAGTGAGCAATAAATGCGGGCCCTTCTGATCTTACCTAGATGGGATGTTTTCTTCCTCATTCGATGGCTTTTTTAGCCTTTTGTCACAAGGTGGCGTGCCACCTTAAAAATAAGAGAGACTGGAGCCAAATTTGGTTTTTGTTTTGTTTCGAGCCTGCCAGTGCTTATATTTTTGTGGCAGTTTTAATCAGCTTAAGTCATTTTACATAGGGCTTCAGGTGATAATATATGTCTCTTCAATTCCTTTAGTTGTAGAAAATGGGATATTTTAAATTTCTATGAGTAAGTGTGGCAGGGCAGGCCTTCCAGACCCTTGTGGGTTTTGCCGGTGCAGAGAGCACCAGACCATGGTTTGGGAGCAACTTGATTTCTCCCCATCCCAGAGGTCTTGACTGAAAACCAGAACTCTCAGAAAACGGCGTAAACAGGGCTTATTTCCAACTGTTCTGTTACAGGGGCCAGAAAGTGAGTCAGGATGTAAAGTGTATCTACCTCCCACTATCAAAGTTGTGAATTTAGAGACTCATTAACTTTTTATTTTGAAATAACTTCAGACTTACAGGAAAGTTATAAAAATAGTTCAGAGAATTCCTGTATAACCTTTACATTCCCCAAATGTTAACATTTTACCGCATTTACTTTAGTCTATTTTTTTCCTCAGGTGTTTGACCACATGCTGCAGACGCAATGCCTCTTTACCCTTAAAATACTTCTGTGTGTATTTCCCCAAATCACCACTGCCATATGACACCCAAAGCAGGAAATTAACCCTGATCCAGTACTCAGCACTTCACTCAAATTTTGCAGTTGCCCTCCTAACATGCTTTATAGGAAAGAAAGGTCTGCTTTTTTCTGTTCCAGAATCCAGTCTGTGATCACACATTGCATTTAGCTGTCACGTCCCTTTAGTGGCTCTTAACTCTGAAACAATTCTTCAGCCTCTGTCTTCTCTCATGACTAGGTATATTTTTGAAGAATGCCCCTCCATTCGGGCTTGTCTGATGCTACCTCACGATTAAGTTCAGGTTCTGTCTTTTTGGCAGGAATACCACAGAAGCGATGTTTGTTCTGTTTTCAGTCCACCATATCAGCAAGCAGTTAGCCCTCGCAGGGTTGGCGGTTTTAACTTTGCTCACCCGCTCAGGGTGGTGTCCGCCCGGTTTCTCCACTGTAAAGGAGCTGTTGCTCTCCTTTGTAATTACTAAAGCACTTTGTGGGGAAAGAGACTGGTTAATTTAACAAATTGGACAAAGTCATTGTATTTTTTACCAACAGCATTATATGGAGTTGAACTGAAGTGGCCCCGTGACATGACAGGAGGGACATAGAATTTGTTACACAACAAATTATAGTCTTTACCTTACCTGTGGAAGTGCTGCTCCTCTGCTGGAAGGAAAACCCCGATGCAGCGGAGAGGGCGGAGGATTTAGCCTCATCCCGAAATCTGCATGTTTTCAGGCCCTTTCATCCCAGCTGCTCTTGGGCCCAAGCATTGTGCTTTCATCTTACATGAAATTTTTGATATTTTGTTATAAAAGAGAATGTTCTCATAGAAAATGGCTGGAAAATATAGACTAGAAAGAAGAAATTCACATTACCACCTAAAGTTTACTAGTGGCATTTTGGTGTATCGTAAGTTTTAATCTGATTTTACAGGTTACCACGGAAATCTCACCATTCATTTTGACAGTTTTTGTAAGGAAATTCTAAGTCTCAAAGGAACCAAATGTGTTTTTGGAACTTCAGTGGCTTATAAATCAGGATTACTAGCAGTCGCTGTGTATATTTGTGTCTTGTGTGTGTAAATGGCACGCAAATGTATGCATGGCCCTGACTACTGGTACTCTGTACATCTTTTAGTAGTGACATGGGCTGGCCACTTGGGAAGTGTTCGGGGGACACTGGAGGTATGCACAGTTGTACTGAGGTTCACAGTAACGTTTCAGGAAGGAAATACAGTAGTCCCCCTTTCCTTGGTTTCCCTTCCCACCGTTTCAATTCCCTGTGGTCAGCCATGGTCCAAAAGCATCAAATGGAAAATTCCAGAAGTAAACAATTCTTAAGTTTTAAATCGTGTGCTCTTCTGAGTAGTGTGATGAAATCTCGAGCTGTCCCGCTCCATCCCACTCCAGATGTGAATCATCCCTTTGTCCTGTGTATTCACACTGTACATGTGACTTTCTCTTAGTCACTCAGTAGCCATCTCAGTTATCAGATCGACTGTGGTGTCACAGTGCTTGTGTACAAGTAGCCCTACTTTGCTTGATAATGGCTCCAACGCGCAAGAGCAGTGATGCCAGCAACGCGGATCTGCCAGAGAAGCCTTAAAGTGCTTTCCTTAAGTGAAAAGGTGAAAATTCTTAACTTAATAAGGAAAGAAAAATCATACGCTGAGGTAGCTAAGATCTACAGTAACTTTTATTACAGAGTATTATTATAATTGTTTTATTTTATTATTATTGTTAATCTCTTACTATGCCTAATTTATAAATTAAACTTTATCATAGGTATGTATGTATAGGAAAAAACGGTGTATATTGTGTTTGGTACTATCTGTGGTTTCAGGCATCCACTGGGGGTCTTAGAACATATCTCCCCAGGATAAGGGGGGACTACTGTAGTCATGAAACATATTGATGTAATTGATTAATTGAATTTTATGCCAAACCCTTTATCAGCCCCTTCACAAGGACCTCAGGGTCCTTCCTGGGCTCATCGGCTCTTTAACTCTCTCTTATGCTTTCAACAACAAAAAGTAGACTTCTACCCGCAGAGAATATGTCAAATAGTTCTAGTCATCTGAATACAAATATGAAACAAGTCCAATTCATATTCTTTATAGTTATTTATACCATATTTAATTACAAGGAAAAATAGTTAATATCTTTTGAAAGTAATTTTACATTTTAACTAGGGGTAGGTGTGTAAAGAAACCCTGGGGGTCTGCCTCCCTCTCCTTTTTTTAACGGGCTCAGAGGAGCCACTCCTGCCTGTATTTCTACACGGGGGTGAAATTTTCGGCAGCATCCTCAGGCTTCCTAGAGTGCTGGTGAGTTTCGCTGACCAGCCCTCCCCTGAGCAACAGGCTGCTCCAAGAGCCCAGGTCCCTAGTGTCCCCTCTGACCAGTTTCCACACCCTCCCAGTGCAGGCAGCGTCTCCCTTCACCACACACTGGAAGCCAGGAGGAGGAAATCTCTGACTATATTCCCATCGGGGAGTTCTTGCTTCCTAAGGGGGCTGGTGAGCAGCACCGAAGAGCAGGGAAGACTGCATTAGGTGAAATGCCTGGGTGGATTCTCACTCTCACCAAACAGGAAGAACGGTTTCGCATGTTCTCATCTGAAATACTGGCCGTTTGGTATACGGCCAATTTATTTTGGAGGGTCCTGGGGCACCTCAAAGAGAGATGTCATTTTTCAGTAGCCGAAAGGAGCATTCTAGTGATTCTGCAGACTTACTTAAACACTGTGGACAGGGGTAAGTAGTTGTAAATGAAATAAAAGTCACAAAAGTGGATGCTCCAGGCACCAGCTAGGAATTGAGCTGTCCCCCACTTGGGCAATTCCTGGGTGTGGCGGAAGCAGTGATTTCTCTAGTTATGGTACATCAGCTGGTGTCCTACAGATATAGAGAATGTCTCCTTTCTCTGCCCATACCCTGCCTCCAGCTCTTGCACTGGGGCCTCCCCTCTCCACTCCCATGCCCTCAGCTCCTCACCCTGTTGGCCTCAGCACCATCCAGTATCACCACCCAGAGCTTCCTCTCAGGGCACTGCTGTTCAGTTTTCAATCTGCCCAGCTGAGCACTGCAGAACCCCCAGGGGGCGCTAGTCCTAGTGCAGTCATAGGAGATGTGTACGTTTAAAGAGAAAATTTGTGGCACTTGAAAGCAAAGCATCTTGAAAGATGGATGTCATTATCTAATTCACACAAAGGGCCCTTATAGGCTAGCAGTGGCCTTGATCTGACTAATCCATCATCTCTGGGTGACCTATTCAAGGTCTAGGGCCCACTTTCATCCCTTTATCTGCATACTCCTAACCTCTGAACCAGGCTTCCCTAGTCCATAGTCCATGACGTGCTCTACAGGATACAAGCAAGAATTAAAGACCCTCCTCTCATGTAATATATGACCCCTGAATTACATCATCTCAGTGTCAAATGGGGTCTTGCAGGAACCGTCTGGAACTGTAAAAACCTAAGTAACAGGAGCAGGTGTGTTTTCTCCCATCCAATGAGCACTTCATTGTATAAATCAGGGGTCAGCAAACTCTCTTCTATAAAGGACCAGGCAGTAAATATTTTAGACTCTAGGCATAAAATCTCTGCCACAACTACGCAGTTCTGCCTTGGAGTGCAAAAGCAGCATTGACGATACCGAAATGAATGAGCATCACTGGGTTCCAATAAAACTTTATTTATGGACACAAATTTAAATTTCATATGCTTTTCATGTGTGATGAACTGTTCTTCTTTTGATTCTTTTTCAACCATTTAAAGATGTAAAAACTATTCTTAGCTCACAGGCCATATAAAAATGGAGCAGGCTGCATTTGGCGTGTGGTTGTAGTTGCCCTGTTATAACTGACTTATAAGATTGCTTCCAACTCAAACATTTCATGATTATGTACTTAGCTTGACCAGAAATTAAGTCCTAAGTTAGTATAAGTATTAATCCCATTGAATAGTCATTTATTTTACAGAGTAGAACTGGGTGTTTCTTTTTGTAAAACACTATAAAAAAAAAGGAGTGTCTTGGGGCGAGCCTGGTGGCATAGTGGTTAAGTTAGTGTGCTCTGCTTCCATGGCCCAGGGTTCGCAGGTTCAGATCCCAGGTGTGGACTTACACACCGCTCATCCAGCCATGCTGTGGAGGCACCCCACATACAAAATTTAGGAGGATTGGCACAGATGTTAGCTCAGCCACAGTCTTCCTCACTGAAAAGGAAAAAAACAAGGAGTATCTCATTCAAAAAATTCCTGTCCTTTTTGTTTGATAGGCCAGCCCCACACCTACTTGGGATGTTTACTGAGTTAGGATGGTGAAGACGACCCTGCAGAAGGGCAGCACGTTGGGACTGTTGGTGAACTCAGTATGGGGTTAGTGTCTGCCTGTCCCCTACAAGGCAGTCACCTGGGAGAGCCTGGCCCTGGAGAGGCACCTGGAAACAGTGCTGGGCCCAGGCTTGAGTTCTGAGTCTGTCACTAACTTAAGCCACTGCCTTCAACTAAGAACGGCCTTTCTAGGCCTGAACCTCAGTGACCCCCCTGCCCCAGGACACCAGCCCAATTCCACCATGAACCCAGATCAGCCTTAACAGAATCTGGTCCCCACGGGCAGCCTGCTTGCCCCTGACAGGCTGTAACCCCCTTTTCGGCAGGGCAGCACAGATGAGCTTATTTTCTAACAGAATTGACCTGTCCCCCTTCCTGCTGGGCTCAAACCCTTAACCTGTCCTCTTTCTGCTGTACATACGTCCTCCTCTCCTCACAGAGCCACATCCCATGGCCCAGCGGAGGCACCTCTTCCATCTTCAATTCCCTAAATGATCTGAGGTAGGTCTTCACAATTTCCACCTACGAACCCTTCCTCCAAACCTGTCCCAACTCAACTTGCACCTAAGAGATAAAGTAGACGTCTCACAGGAGGACTTGTCTGGGCTCGGGGCTGCGGGTGGCTGTCCTTTTTTCTCTGCCACCCTGCATGGCAGGGGACAATGCTTGGCTAGAAAGTCAGCCCAAGGGGCCGGCCCAGTGGCGCAGCAGTTAAGTGTGCACATTCCACTTTGGCGGCCTGGGGTTTGCTGGTTTGGATCCCGGGTGCAGACATGGCACTGCTTGGCAAGCCATGCTGTGGTAGGTGTCCCACATAGAAAGTAGAGGAAGAGGGGAACGGATGTTAGCTCAGGGTGAGTCTTCCCCAGCAAAAAAAAAAAAAGCCCAGGAGCCAATCCCTCACCAGCAGCACAGAGCTCCAATGAGAGAGAGAAGGTGGGTCCATCAACCAGCACTAGAAGCTTCTTATACCTACTGTCAGTGTCTCCCCTTCTCATTTTCAAGGTTAGGCTGCCAGTAGGGGCTTCTTTCTAAAGCAGACCCTACAGCAACTGTGTCACATTGTGTGTGTGTGTGTGTGTGTGGGCGGGGGTGGGGTGGGGTGGGTGAAGCTACACATCCATTTCCTTAATGCAAAGAGTCATAAATAGGGTTTTAATTCATACCTTTTAAACAAAAGAGCCTGTCAATACCTGCACACTCAGAAGACTCGCATGCCCAGTGGATATCATCACTACTGTGCATTAGCTGGTTCTCTTTACTGCCCACAAGCCCCTGCCTTGCTCAACACGTGATTCATCGCATAGAAATGAAATGCTAATGCAGCTTCTGAAAATCCCCTTTATACTTTTTTGAGGAACCAAGTGACACATGTAGAAAGTTCTTGCTGAATGACCATGAGGCCTCAGAAGTTCTACGGGTGTTATTTAAGAAAACAAAAGCTTTAGCTGCAGTAACTCTAAAAAGTTGAAACTTTGGAGAAAATAAGCCAAAATAAAGAAGGTAAAGTGGAAAGGAAAAACCTCACCTAGACTTGTAAAAAGTCAATTACATAGTCTTTTATTTCTAGCTTGAAAAAAAAACACTTAAATTACAAGGAAAATATTTACAGGATTCATCACGTTTTAAGCTGGGAGACTGGATGTGGGAGGGTGCTCAGTGTCCCTTGCTGGGACAGGCTGAGACAGATTAGGTGACCTGCCTGAGGGTCCACAGCTCACTCGTCAGAGTCAAGGAGAGGACTCGGTCTCCGGACTGCCTGGCCCAACCGACAATGAACAAAATATCACAGGTGTGCCAGAGCCATTTTGCTAACAAATAATTACATGCTTGTTTAGTGTTTAAGAGAAATCTTAATTATTCTGAGAGATCTCTGTAGAATCATCCTAGCGACGTGTATGATTGAGAAAATTCTTAAAGAAAAACAAATAAGCTTGTCTCCCCGATGAGACCCACTGCTTCTCCCCAGGCGCCACTGGCCTTTCTGGGACAGTGACATGGAGTAGTGGGCTCCGTAAAGTCCTGACAGGGACATCAGCAGCTTCAGGAGCTCAGTCCTCTTCCTGCAGGCCGGTGGAGCAGGCCAATGCTTTGCTTCAAAGTGCTTTGGAGAACATCTTCTTACTCCTTCTCTGGAAACACAACGACAGACACAGAGTCCCAGGCATCTTCCGTTGGGGAGCTGTCCTTGTCCAAGGCGTCTAAGATAGGCTGAGCCGGGTCCTTTAAATACTGGAAAAGGTTGAAAACGAACATCGTAACTAGTGTATCAGTTCAAAAGACCAGACCTTTTACTTAAGTTTCAGTTGGCACAATCATATTTTATACAAGCGTAACTTCCTCTTCTGTTCACCAACGAAACAACTTCTGAAACTTGAACACCTCTTCGCCCCCATCTCATAAATAACTTGGACACAAATCCAAGGGCCAGCGAGCTAACGCTCTGAAGGTGTGAAAGGGCACAACTCAGGAAAAGTAAGCTCTGATTGCTGCCCTGGCTGCAGGCCTGTGGATTATTAATCCTAAAATGTCTCTCAAATTCTGACTTTTCGGTGAAGGAGGAAACAGGCCCTCTTGTTCACCTACAATGAGGGAAAAGAGGGAAAGCTCACGAGCATTTTTCTCAGCCACTCCACCCACTGGTTGTTTCTCCTTCACACAACACCCAAGAAGGTGAGAATCCGGGCTTGCAGGACACTGATCGCGGCAGTCCTGGGGGTATGGGAAAGCGGAGGTCCTCACTATAAAGTGATATTCCACAGTGCCTAACCATCCGTCTCCCCCTGGCCTCTGCTTTCGGCTTGGCCGTCAATTCACCACGTTACCAAGAATCTACCGCCTAGCTCTTGGAAATGCCGAAAGATACTGCGATACAGTAAGCTCAGAGCTGACTGATTAAAAGAGGAACAACGATGAATCACGTGCACTTGTGAAACCTCAAAAATATACGTGAAACAGGATTCAGTATGCTCATGTAACTTCAGCGACTTTTGATATGTATTTTTCACACTTTCCTAGGAAAGGGAACCAAAAGACTGTATGTTGTAGATACAGCCCCCAAAGGAATAACTAGTAGTCAGTTCATTTACTAGGGTCCAGCTGGCGGTTCTACTGTGAGAGAGAGATTATTAACACAAGTGAAATTCTGAGACCGCTGAAAGCTGTTATTTTGTGACAATATTAACCCAGGAAGGCTTTGGCTTTTTTTTGTTTGTTTTTTTTGTGGTAAGAACACTTTAAAATGAGTTGTACCCTCTTAAGAAATTTTTCAGTGCACAATACAGAATTGCTAACTATAGGCGAGAGGTTGCACAGCAGATCTCTAGAACTTACTCATCTTGCGTAACTGAAACTTTATACCCGTTGAACAGCAATGCCTGTTTCCCCCTCCTGTGGTCCCTGGGAACCACCATTCTACTCTCTGCTTCTATGAATCTGACCATATTAGATGCCCCATCTAAGTGGAATCATGCAGGATCTGTATGGAGCTTCTAGTCGAGAATTTGACATGTAATTTGTATAATGTCTGTGTACTTTAAATACCTCATAAGAGATGAAGGAAAACAGGTGACTGTAACTCTTTCTAGAGGCCCCACTCTGTCTTCACAGACTAGATAGAACAGAATAAAGATTCTGTTTTCAGTACCTTGACCCCGATTTTACTGGAGAATAATAAGCCTCCAGAAGCAAATACTTTTAAACTTTCTTCTATCAGCTAGCTTCTGATCCTAAGAATGTCCTGACTATGTCCTCAGAGGGCCCAGCTGCCTCACCGGGCCTCAGGGGACTGGGGCTGTGTAGGAACACAAGACCCACTCCACTTGTCTTTCTCAAGCCTTTTAAAATACTAGTAACATCCCCTGAGCGCCTGGTGTGCAAGGTCTTGTGCTTCCGGCTCTGTGCACTTACTCTAGGGTCCTCCTAAGTGCACCCTGTCAGCCCAGAGCTCCTGCTCTTGACGGCTGTCTCGACAGCCTTACCATCCTCCAGCCAGGCTTCCTTGGGGGCATTCTCCCAAAAGCACAGGACCAATATGCTGCCTCGTGGGAGGGACCTACCGCAGCCCATCCCTTGGCCAGGCCAGGCCACCATTTTTGCCAACCTCTTGCCATTTAAAAAATATTTTTTAAAATTCTGGTAAAATACACATAATATAAAATGTAGCATCTTAACCGTTTTGAAATGTGCTGCTCAGTAATGTACAGTGTGTTTGCATTGTCATGCCATCATCACCACCATCCATCTCCAAAACTTTCTTCGTTTTGCAAAATTGAAACTCCCTACCCATTAAATGCTAACTGCCCATTTCCTCCTCCCCCCAGACCCTGGCAACCACCATTCTCCATTGTGTCTCAATGAACTGAACTACTCTAAGCACCTTCTACAGATGGGATCCTGTAGTATTTGTCTTTTTGTGATGAGTTTATTTCACTTATCATAATGTGTCAGGGTTCATCCATGTTGTAGCATGGGTCAGAATTTCCTTCCTTTTTAAGGCTAATATGCCCTTGTATGTGTAGACCACATTTTATTTATCCATTCTCCATCCCTGGACACTTGGGTTGCTTCTGCCTTTTGGCTATTGTGAATAATGCTGCTGAACATGGGTGTACAAACAACCCTGTACCTCTATGAACTCAAATCTCTGTCTCCATGGCTTTATCCACTGCTGTACTCTTAGGTGTTACTAGGGGACTATGGAGTGCGGACATGTCACTCATTTATTTATTTATTATTATTTTATTATTATTATTATTATTTTTTGAAGACGATTAGCCCTGAGCTAGCATCTGCTGCCAATCCTCCTCTTTTTTGCTGAGGAAGACTGGCCCTGAGCTAATATCCATGCCCATCTTCCTCTACTTTTTATGTGGGACGCCTGCCACAGCATGGCTTGACAAGTGGTGCCATGTCGGCACCCGGGATCCAAACTGGTGAACCGCGGGCCACCAAAGCGGAACGTGCGAACTTAACCGCTGCAACACCAGCCGGCCCCAATTATTATTTTTTTAAAGATTGGCACCTGAGCTAACAACTGTTGCCAATCTATTTTTTCTTTCTGCTTTTTCTCCCCAGTACATAGTTGTATATTTTAGCTGTGGGTCCTTCTAGTTGTGACACGTGGGGTGCCACCTCAACGTGGCCTAATGAGTGGTGCCATGTCCACGCTCAGGACCTGAACCAGTGAAACCCTGGGCTGCCAAAGCGGAGCGTGCGAACTTAACCACTCGGCCACGGGGACAGCCCCACGTCACTCACTTAGACATGTGCACACATACCTCTTCTATTTGTACTGGGATGCTTGGCGGAGACTGAAACCAGTATTTAACCAGGCCTCTGTATTTCAGGACCAGGAAGAGACAGGCCCCTGCCATCGCCGACAGCAACAGAAAGGTTCCAATGGCGATGAGAATCACTTGCTGAAGCTTGGTGGAGGCTAAAAAGATGACGTGAAAGTGAGCAGGAGGACCATCCCACACATGATAGAAACATCGGGTAATTTTTCATGCACCACTGCGTAGTGTTCATGTCCTGGTAAGATGGACAGATGCTGCCCCTCCTCCCCCAGCCCCATAGGCTTAAATTAATAGCTAGTGAAGGCAATGCAAAAATAAGGCAAGGGTTAGCTGTCTGGCGGCTCTTGCTTCCAGAGATCTCAGCACGAGCTCCTCAGACCCACAGTTAAGTGCTCTGTTCTCGCCCCCTTCTCTCTGCATCTCCCCACTCCCACCACCCTTCACCTAATAAGCAACCCCTGATTTCACTATTTTAGGAGTATTCTTTTCCCAGCTCAGAAAGGACATAAGAAGGCGTGTGTTACCTACCATCTGCCATCGTTTCGTAGCAAGATATGCTGCTTAAATGCCCGGGTCTAGAGATGTTTAGCATTGTCCAAAGTAGTTGTGCCTTGACTTGTAAACAGTATACCGTTAAGGGTTTTAAATCACTCAGCACAATGGAGTTGGTCATGAAAGGCCCTGCAACCTGGGTAAAAAACACCAACACCACACAGGTGAATCACCCGAGTAGACACGGTCAAGCCACTTCCATCCTCTCAAAGGTTTCCTCAAATTCACAGTGAAACACAACCACCAATAAAGAAGAAAATTCTGTTCTTAAAGAGCCAATAGCTTACGCTGGACAGATGCTATACATGAGAACTGGTGAGGAGTGTGAAGAAAGATGCTGATGGCTTCAGGGCTGTTGTTCTGGCTGGGAGGCCTCGGAGGGGCCATCACAACCACGAAGGGACCAAAACTGGAATTTAGCAAATCTCAATTTTCCCTTTTAAAATGAACATTTGCTATTTCATGGTTAATCTTATCTAGATACTTCACATTAGTCAACAAACAGAGAAAAAAATAATTCTAGGAAATAATGTTCCTTTAGTTCCCAACTTGCTTCTAGTTTTAACTGAAATGTGCGGATTCCTCTCATAGTTTTGGTTAAAATGATCTTAGCAATTTATGTAATCGGCAAACAGCTGGGTCCCAAATTCTTAGAGGATTCTGTCTCCTCTCCAAGTCCTTGTGCTGCCCTCACTCAGGCCTTGTCACCTCCACACCTGGGTCACTCCAGTTAATGGCTGGGGTGACCAGATGTTGTCACTGAAACCAGTATTTCAGGCATCTGTATTTCAGGACCAGGAAAAGACGGGCCCCTGCCGAATGGGCCCCTGCCAATGACAAAGTTGTCACCGTTCCACAAGGAAATGAGAAAAAGATGGATCATATTATGGCAATATGGGATTTCTTCTAAAGGACTACTTTCTTATTTTGAGATACAGAAGAATATGCGATAGCCATTTGAAATGGTGGTATAACATGATCCGTAACATCAAAGATGAAGCTGCTAGGACATTGACTGAGAAAAAGGTTATTCAATAGTATATGGAACATAATCTTACTTTAAAAAATTTCAAATAATCATGTTATTTATTAATAATAGGATTACAAATGATTTAAAATTTTTTTCCTTTTGTTTAATGGTGATGGACTGCCAGGGCCGGGGGACAAAAGTTTTTGCTCATGATGCCACATAAAGCCATTTTAAGGACAAAATTCCCTTGTGTTTATTTCAGCAGACAGGGGGCATTTCTGAAATTGAGAATCACACGTTGCAGAGAAGAGCTAACATTCTGGCCTGAGACTGCTGTCCTTGGATAGGCCTGCTTGCAAGGCTGACCCACGGCTGGCACCTGGAAACCTGGATTTCAGGAGTGTTCCCTCCATTTCCTGCCTGATAAGGGTGGTTTATTGTACAAACAATGTGGTTTATGCTGAACACTGCTTTCCTTTTGGGAGTGTGGAATTTTGATATGTGCTGGGCAGAGGGTGCCCACATGACCTGCCCCCATAAAACCCCTGGGCGCTGAGTCTCTAATGAGCCTCCCTGGTGGACAATATTTCAGATGTGTTGTCACAGCTTGTTGTGAAGGAATTAAGTGTGTCCTGTGTGACTCTGTCGGGAGAGGAGTCTCGGAGGCTTGTGCCTCGATTCCTCCAGACTCGGCCCCATGGGCCTCTTCCCTTTGCAGATTTTGCTTTATGTCCTGTCTTTGCAATAAATCATAGCTGTGAGCTCAACTCTATACCAAGTCCTGTAAGACCTTTGAGCAAATCTAGGGGTTGGTCTTGGGGACCCCCAACACACAGCTGGAATGGAGATCATGCCAGTGGCTTTCAGAGTCATTTTAGCCCTAGAATCGTTTGTCCATGAAAGTCCAAAGTCAAGAAGCTCTGGGTGAAAAGGGCTTTGGGGTCTCCGCAGATTCCAACTTATAACTCAACTGTTTCATTTTACACCAGAGGAAACTGCAGCCTAGAATGGCTAAGTGACATTGAACTAGTTCCAAGTAGTGGAAACACGGTCCATGCACTTTTCATTAGGGCACACTGCTCAGGGAGGCTGGTTTCAACGTCCTGGAGGGGAGTCCTCAGCACTGCGCAGCCTGCCCAGCTCTAGGACACCAACGGCAATTCACCCTCTGGGGGCTGATTCGGTGGAGTGAAGCCATCCACTCCGTCATAAGCAACAAAAGTATGGCCAGGCCCCTGGTAGGAGCGCTGTAACATGGTGCATTCTAGACAAGAAACCAACTCAATGGTGGAGGAAAAATGTCATCAGAGTGCCCATCCTTTCTCCTGCATTTCCAGCGCCACATCTGACGTCCAGGACGTATATAGCCCAGGATGTATATGGAAGAGGCAGTCGCCTCTCCCTTCCAGATTCTTCTAGGCTTTCTCTATTCCAGTTGAACAGCTCTTGACCTCCAATTTGGGGAAATGATTATGTCCTTCTTTACTACATGCTAAGAGTCTGTTCTTTGTGAGTTTTGCCTTCCCAGTGTTTTTAGATTTACCATAAAGAAACAAAGAGAAAGTGCAAATATAAACTATGTGGGAGAAAACCTGTGAGTCAGAGCATGGCCCCTGGGGCCAGATGTCTGTCTCTGCTTTGCTAGCTGCCAGCCGCTGACTTGGGGCAAGCTACTTCACCACCTAATCTCCCTCTCTGTGAAAGAGCTTGTTATAAAGATGAATTGAGATGTAGCTAAAAGGCCTGGCCCAGTGCCACACACAAAAGAAAGCTCTCGATAAACATAAGCTCTTATCATTATTATAAAAATTATAATAATGTTGAAATTAAGAAATCATGAAGTTTACGTAGATAGTAAAACCTTATTAAATGTAGCCTAGATAATCAGGCCTGGAGATGATTAAAGGCCATGATTTTTTTCTTGGGCTACCCAGGTACCTGTGTCAATGGTATTCCTGCCACAGTCCCTCGGGTAGCTTGCGTTCTGACAGAGCCAAGCCCTGGCTGTTCTCCATGTGCTGAGCCCTCTCAAACCCCCTGGTCCTGCTCCCTAGAAGGCTCTCCTTCCACTAGACTTTTCACCTGTTCACATAAGCCTTCTCTGCAAACTGTTCAAACCAGAGAAATGTATACAGTTGACCCCTGCAGACTGCAGTGGTGGATTCCTTGTAGAAACAGGCCCACTGAACCTCCCCAAACTCCAGTGGGGGCAAAGGCACCATGAGCACCGGCCAAGTCTGGACCCCCAAGAATGGGGCAGGGTGGTGTCAGAGGGGCCCCTCTGCTGGGCCTGGTGGAAGGGAGGTCTCAGCACAGTGAGGAGAACGCAGGCCTTGAAAAGGAGGATGAACCCAGCTAAGTCTCAGCGTGAAGGCCACACGGGGATCCCCTGTTCCCCCCGCCTGTTTTAAAGTTTACTTTCTTTTGCTGTATCAGAATCTCCGAAGAAAAGAAAATCAAAACAAAGCAGCAAAATGCTCTTGCCTTTTGGATTCCTGCCTTTTCCTTTTCCCAGTAATGGACGTAATACTGAAAAGCGACCGTGGAATCATAGATGTCAAAGGGAGGGGACAACTTGATGATAAGGGAGCCTTCTCCTGGGGTCACCCAAATGTTTTCTGGAGGCCCAATGGTAACTGGAATAGAATTACAAAAACAAAAAAGGTTATCAATATATGTACATACACACACATGTTGTATATGTAGAGATACACAACATGTATGTTGTATATACACAAATTATTTGCATACTATACATTAATATATAATTCTCTCTCTCTCTCTATATATATATATACTGTGTATACATACACACACACACACATATACTTATGTATGCAATGAGTTTACATTCAGGCACACAAGACTACCAGAGACTGCCCCGGGCACACGATTTACTTGCACGGCTATGGGGCAGGAAGCCGGGTGGGGCCACAGTGCAGCACCAGGGGCTTCTTGCCTTCAGGGGAACGAGGGGTCCTCACAGCAGTCCACCTAGCGGCCCAGAGACCAACCCTGCCCACCTCACAAGTCAGCTTGGGTAACTGGCAGGTACAGGAGCCCCCCGGCTTAAAGGCCACCAGAACTTCTCATAACGCCACCACAGGACCAGTTTCCAGAGTCCCCACGAGGAACACAGCCAGTTCTAAGAACCATGGCACTCGGCAAAGCCCCGAGACGTGGCTTCCTACCACGTATTTAAGATTGTCCCAGGTGAGATGCCGTTTACCAGTCAGGGGTCATTTCGACCATGTGCCATGCTGCCTAGTAACAGAGTTGACATACCACCTTTATCAGGTTTCCAGAGAAACAGAGCTGGGAGGTTACCCAAAGCTCAAATTTTCATATAGAGGGGGAAGAGATTTTGTTAGCCCTCACCTACAATTTCTATATCAATGAACAAAAGTGGTATTTACAAACCTTTCAATATATTTGTCTCCTAGCTTATTGTAATACTGTGTTTAAAAATATAATAGCTCCAGCAATTCCACTTCTGGGTATTCGTCCAAAGAAAATGAAAACATGAACTCGAAAAGGTATCTGCATGCCCATGTTCACTGTAGCATTATTTATAATAGCCAAGACATGGAAGCAACCTAAGTGTCCCCTGATGGATGAATGGATAAAGAAAATGTGGTGTGTATACACACACACGGAATATTATTCAGCCATTAAAAAGAAGGAAATCTCTTCCATTTGCAGCAACATGGATGGGACCTTGAGAGCATTATGCTAAGAGAAATAAGTCAGACAGAGAAAGACAAATACCGTATGATCTCACTTATATGTGGAATCCAAAAAAAAAAAAAGAACTCATAGATACGGAGAACAGATTGGTGGTTGCCAGAGGCGGGGGGTGGGTGAAATGGGTGAAGGGGGTCAAAAGGTACAAACTTCCAGTTCTAAGATAATAAGTCCTGGGGATGTCATGCACAGCATGGTGACTAGAGTTAATAATACTGTATTGTATATTTGAAACTCGGTAAGAGGTAGGTCTTAAAGATTCTCATTACAAGAAAAAAAATTGTAACTATGTGAGGTGATGATATTAACGAGACTTACTGTGGTGATCATTTTGCTACATGCAAATATCAAGTCTTTATGTTGTACGCTTGAAACTAGTATAATGTATGTAATTACATCTCAATTTAAAAAAAGAAAAAATATAATAACTGCAAAATATTACCATCGTAAGTCTGTGTGTCAAGGCTTTTCATATAATTTGCAGGGTAGCCAAGGACTATGACTCATGATGTCCTATAAATGAAAGGTCGTGGCATTTATCAAGCGAGCATTTAAACTGTGTAATTAACTGCAGGAACTCAGATCAAAGTGCAGCCTGGGTCCTACAGGTTCTGAGAGGCCTGTATCTGTACGTTTTACACCCACAGGCGCTCAGATCACTGGGAACAGTTATGTGTTCACGATGGTGGGCCTGGATTTCTCTTACGTGTGCACACTGTCCCCTAGGCTCTCCCAGGTTGGCGAGGGTTAGGCATATGGTCTGGCCACCTTTCACTCTGTGCAGAAGTAACTGGTCCCCACAGGGTTTGCACCTGTGCCTCTATCTCATTTGTTCTGATGGAGGAACTAGGCCTAGATAGAGACAGGGCCAGGCCTGGCCCCCTGCCAGCCAGAGGGATGTTAGCAGATGGGCTGGGAGTGGCCAAAAGCTCTTTCATTGAACCTGCTCATGGACGCCAGCACAGGCATTCTCAAGCTTCCCTTTCAACAGCTAAGTGATGGAGCATGGGCAGGCACACCGACCTGCAGGGCCCAGCTGCCTGCTGTAGGTCCCTCACCTCGGCAGGAAGAGTCTCTAGACTCTTCCATGACTTAGACACGGGAGTGGGCGTGGGAGCATGGACGCCAGCCAGGAATAGTCACCGCTAACAGGTCAGCGCTGGAAGACCCGCCCTTCTGAGCAAAGTCCTAGGTCTGGAATCTGATACCAACCTGATAAGCCTGTTTCTCGAGAAGGCCTTCTCTCACTGCACTGAAGGAAGGCTCAGGGCAACTCGGGATGACTGTTGATGGCAGCTTCCACACACACAGTGATGACTACCAACCAGGCAACACGGACTCTACGTGCGTGTCCACACAGATCCATGTAACCACCACAGAAGGTTATCCCCACTTCCCAGAGCGGGAATCTGAAGCCCAGAGGTGAAAATAACTTGGCCAGAGTGACAGCCAGTAAATGGAAGAGCTGGGATTTGAACTCAGGTTTATGTGAAGGCAAAGTCTGCCCTCCTCAGCCACATCTCCTCCCTCCACCCTCCAGCGCTTGGTAAGCCATCGTCATATTGGTTATTCATCCTAAATCCACCGCAAGTGGTGAGAGCAGAGATGGGATTTGAGAACACCACTGCCTCCAACTTTACAAGTGAGGGGCGGAGGATGAGAACCCAGACAGCAACTAACCGAGAACACTGCTGCCCAGCTCAGGCTGGGAGGCCAGGGAGCAGCCACTGGCCGACACTGGACCAACACGTCCATGACACATCCCGCTTCGGTTACCATCTCTTGTCCCCTGGGTGGTAGCCGGTAACCACCATTACTCTTTTTAAACTAATTCCCACTTAGGTGACATTTTATGGCTCAAATGTGTGACGGTCCTCTACTCAAGGACAAATGACTTGTCCACAGTTGACAATCAGCTGGCAAGGACTCCACTGTCTGCTCTTTCCACCCCCACATCACCTAGCTCAAGCCATTAAAGTTTTTTTTTCTTAGCTTCCTATTACAGAAAATTTCAAACACACAGAAAGTAGAGAGAAGATCGTGACAGCAGCTCACGTACTCATCATCCAACTTTAAATCAACCGTCAAGTCACGGACAGTTTTGTTTCTTCTGTGCCCATCCTCCTTGCCCATGCCCCTCCCACTCTCTGAATTATTTTGAATCAATCTCAGACATCACATCATTTCACCAGTAAATACTTCAGTATGTATCTCTGAAAGATAGGACTCCTCCTTTTTAAAAAACATAAACAAAATCCCACTATAACACCTAAAATAAATTTAATAATTACTTAATATATTGGCAAATATCTAGATTTCCATACTTTGTCTTTGCATAACCTGTAGACACTGAAGAAACATCGGGCACAGCTGACCATGTGACAAAGGAATCATTGAAGGAACAAATGTACAAACTAGTATGTGACGATTCTTATGCCCCTTTCCAATATCTGGGAGCACATCGGTTCATTCAATTATTCAACAAATATTTACTGAATATCTACCACGTGCCAGGCACCATTCAGGGCTGAACTAAAATCTTTCTTGAACATAAAAGAAACTGTGCCAGAAGAGGTAAGGGTGATCAGTGAAGCCAATAGGCTGGCAACCCCTCCAGCACAGAGGTTGGTAAACTTTTTCAGCAAATTGCTAAAGTAAATTTAGGCTTTGCAGGCTAGAAAGCCCATGTTGCAACTACTCAACTCTACTGTGGTAGCATGGACGCCTCCACAGACAATCCATTAAAAGATGGTGAAACTGCATTCCAATAAAACTTTATTTACAACAACAGGTTGGTGGGCAGGATTTGGCCTGCAGGCTGTAGTTTGCCGACCGCTGGTCTAGCAAATCACGCTTTCCTAGCACCAGCCTCCATGGCCAGTACTTGGGTTTAACCATCATACCCACCTGTGTGCTGGTTACTTAGGGTGAGAAGCAGGACCGAGGTGCATGGAGTCAACGCTGTTCAGTAAGGAAGAAAGTGAAGAAAAGCTGGAAACGATAACGGAAGTTTCAGACCCAAGTTCTCTTACCATTCCGAAAGTGCTGGAACCAAGGTACCGTCACCCAGGCAGAAACGCGTCCTTCTAGTTCAGCTTGGACACGTAAAGAGACGTTGAAATGCATTGGGAAACCCTTTGAGATGTTGGTTTTGGTAAAGTTGCACTCCGTCGTGGTGATTTTCACACAGTTCACCCCTTCGGGGTTATTATTGACGTCGGACCACTGACTAGTGGTACTGGAAAGGAAAAAAGGATTCCACTCACAGAATGCTCTCTTCTATCATGTGTAAGCTCCCCCAGAGCTGACTTTTTAAAAGGAGCTTTATTGAGATATAATTCATATACCATACAATTCACCCATTTTAAGTGTATGATTCTATGGCTTTCAGTGTATTCAGAGGGTTGTGCAGCCATCACTACCATCAATTTTAGAACATTTTCATCATCCCCAAAAGAAACCCTGTACCTATTAGCAGTCTCCCTCTCCATTTTCCCCTAGCTCCCAAGCCCTAGGCAGCCATTAGTCTACTTTCCGTCTCTATGGATTTGCCTATTCTGGACATTTCACATAAATGGGATCATAAACTATGTGGTCTTTCGTGACTGGCTCCTTTCACTTAGCATGTTTCACTCAGCATGTTTTCAAGCATGATACATGCTGTAGCATCTATCAGTACTTCATCTCTCCTCATGGCTGAGTAATATCCCATTGTATGGATATACCACATTTTGTTTATTCATTTATCTGTTGGTGGACATGTGGGTTGGTTTCACTTTTTGGCTATTGCAAATAATGCTAAGTCTATTCACATACAAGTTTTTGTGTGGACATACGTTTTCAATTCTCTGAGGTATATTTCTAGGAGTGGAATTGCTGGGTCATATGGCAACTGTATTTTTAACTGTTTTTCAAAGCAGCTGTACCATTTCACATTGCCCCCCACAATATATGAGCTTTCCAATTTCTTCACACCCTCATCAACACTTGTTATTATGTCTTTTTTATTACAGCCATCCTAGTGAATGTGCTGTGGTCTATTGCTGTGGTTTTGATTGGCATTTCCCTGATGAATAATGATGGTGAGCATCTTTTCATGTGCTCATTGGCCATCTGCGTATCTTTGAAGAACTGTCTACTCAAATCCTTTGTCTATATTTTAACTGACTTATTTGTCTTTTAATTGCTGACTTGTAAGAGTTCTTTACATATTTGGGATATAAGTCCCTTATCACGTATATACTTTGCAAATATTTTCTCCCATTATGTCCTGCAACTGATTTTAATGTTTCAAACTCAGCCCCTGCAACCTATGTCTTAGGAACGATACTGTGTTCATACAAACCCCACTCATGCTTCCTGCTAGCATGGTTTGATTTTACCCCACAGTTGCCCATTTAAAGAGAATTTGCCTCACCCATGTGAAAACGCTGCCAAATACAAAGCTACACACATCCTTGGAAGTGACAATGCACTTCTCAGAGTCCCAGTGCCACACCCCTGCATGAGACTTTAGTCCTCAGCTCTGACCTCTGTCCTTGCCTTGGGGGTCAGACTTGAGAAAAGCCAGGGAGGTGACTGCTAGAAGCCTCAGTGAAGGGCAGCAGGCAGTGTCCCCTCAAGGGACAGCAAGACTGGCCTGGAAAGCCAGGTCAGGGGGGACAGAAGAGATGAGGCTGGGGTCACTCCCCTGGCTTTCACACGTGCTTCTAAGTGTACCTTTGACCCCGACTGGAGACTTTTCTTCTGTTAAAGTGGATGGACAAGATGACAGCCACTTCAAGATGTGTGGCCAGGGCTTCCATAGAAAACGCCCGCCATATTCACATCTAAGCCCTGGGGGCACAGACCCTGATGGGCAGAGGCATCCCAAACCACAGGCACCCCCTTGCAGATTGGGACGTGTGCTTCAGAAGGGCTGCATGATTCTTTTTCGAGGTATACAGATACTTAGGTATTCCAACCTCCTCCCCACAGATCCCAGCTGTTGAACTTGGGCACAAGGTCCCCTACATTTCAAAGGCGCATTCCTTGATTCACCAGGGAATTGACCACCATGACCTCCTCCACTCTTCCAAACTTGCCTCTTTCCCAGAACTAATTTTAAAAACGTTTCTAAAAAAACGGGTTTAAAAAGGAACAAGCCATCCAAATTTAAATGACAGGTGACACATGAAGGCTGGCAGTTTTGGGGGAAGGAAGAATAGGAAATGAAGCTTAGTTCTGGAATGCTGCCTCCCTCTCTATCTGCAGAGGGTAAAAATAAGGTGATGTTGGCCCCATTTAAAAGGGTAGGAAAAGGAGCACAGAATCAAGAGCATGACACCGCCCATCGCCAGACTCCCAGCCTCTCGCCTGGGGCTCTCTGCAATCTGTCTGAGTCTTACCCAGAAAGTCGGCCCAGCACCTCCTCGCAACATACCCATGACGGAATGCCACTGTTCTCAAAGTTATTGAATTCTGAAAGCAACCCTCATCACGAAGGGGAACAGAACACAGTGATTAAACACTTGGACTCTGGAGCCGCATTACCTGGGTTCAAACCCCAGTTACTTCACTTCTCTCTTCCTCACACTCCTTATCCATAAAATGGGGAATAACCATAGCATCCACCTCCCAGAGCTGCCGTGAAGGTTGAACCAGTGGATGCCAGGAAAGACCTGGGCCGGGGCCTGGTGCCTGGTAAGCACCACATAAATTATTCCTTCAACACCTCGGCAGCGATTTTATTGTGAGCCTCTTTTAGATCACTTCCAAAAATGGTAAGTAAGTTTGTCCCCTTTGACCCAGCAATTTCTCTTCTAGAAATCTTAGAAAACACTGAGAGATGATTTATATATGAGGACATTACTCATAACAGTCATAAACTGTCAACTACCTACACCTGTGAACGGGGGAAAAGTTAAATACATCACGTGTGATACATCATATAATAAAAAGTGCAATGAAAATGCTTACACAGAAATGATCATATGAAAAAATGCTCACGCTTAAATTACGTTAAGTTAAAAAGAAATGAAAAAACGAAGCAGGACCCGAAAGTGTAACCCCGGTTTTGTTTCATTTATATACACAGACCAGCACATTTTCAAATAAGTCCGTGCATGCAGAAAAACGCCTAGAGAGAAATACCCTAAAATGAGAATAGTAATTATTCTTAGATGGTAGAACACCAGGGTTGTTTTAATTTTATTCTTTCTACTTTTGGGGGTTTTCCAGATTTTTTATAAAGAATATGTATTGCTATTAAAATCAGGAAAAAAAAGAAATTAAGAAAAATGTTTTGAGAAGACTGGGCTGGGCAGGTCCTGGCCTGGCAGCAGACAGGCGGGGCCTCACTGAGGAAGGGCCTGCTGCCTGCCTGTGTGTTTTTTCAAGGAAAAGCAGAAATTGTTTTTTTAAGTGAACGCTCCAGATTTCCTAATGTTGACACTAATTAGAAAAATAAATAAATAAGGCGCCAGCCCAGTGGCGTCATGGTTAAGTTCATGCACTCTGTATACGTGGCCCTGGGTTCACAGGTGTGGATCCCAGGCATGGACCTAGTACCACTTGTCAAGCCACACTGTGGCAGCATCCCACAAATTATAGAAGAAGACTGGCACAGATGTTAGCTCAGGGCCAATCTTCCTCAAGCAAAAAGAGGAGGATTGGCAACAATGTTAGCTCAGGGCCAATCTTCCTCACCAAAAAAGAAAACACTGTGAGCCAAACACAGATTGTAGGCCACACTATCTGCAACCCCTGATTTAAACTTTCAATTTTCCCACAAAGTGTGCTAAGTAATTTTAGCTTCGCTACTGTGACTCAAAAAAGAATCTCCTTCACACTTTAGAGAAACAGAACGGCAAGTGGTAAGTGCCAAGGGCCTCAAAATTAAATTATTTAATGTATCTAAAACATCCCAAACATGTAAAAGTACCTAAAAAACAAGACAAAGCAAAGGCCCTCTTCCGTCAACAAATCCGCAATTGGAAAAGAAAACAAAATCGGCCTCAGGTTCAGTTTTTAGTGACCCCTCAACTTTCCTGGACGTTGATCCTCACCCCAACGTTTGTTTGTTTCTTTCTTTTTTCCCTAATATTAGCCCTGAGCTAATGTCTGTTGCCAACTTCTTTTTTTTTCTCCCCAAAGCCCCCAAGTACATAGTTGTATATTCTAGTTGCAGATCCTTCTGGTTGTGCCGTGTGGGACGCCGCCTCAACATGGCCTGATGAGCAGTGCCAGGTCTGCACCCAGGATCTGAACCCGCGAAACCCTGGGCCTTCCGAAGAGGAGCACGTGAACTTAACCACTCTGCCATGGGACTGGCCCCCCAGCCTTTGTTTATTTTACCAAAACCAACCTCTATCCTGAAAAATATCTACGAAACGCTTTTTGAAAAAAAAACAAAAAGAAGCAAGTTAGTCTGTGATATGAAACTGTCAAAGGCTTTAACATTTTTTTCTAGTATTTAGAGGCACTCCGCCAACCCACAAATGTACTTCTCCGTTCAAGGCTAAGGAATGTAGTCAATAAATCAGTGGTGACCTCCCTTGACTGGAATCATTAGCTATAGGATACTATGTTTACGACGTTACGGGCATGTGACCTGTGTAGAGGCATAAAGATTCGCTCTTACGAGAGCACTTGCTTTGATGTCCTGATGTTGCCATCTTGAAATTCTTAATAACTTTTGAACAAGGGGCCCCGGCATTTTCATTTGGCACTGGGCCCCACAAATTATGTAGCTGGTCCTCCAGGACTGGTCCATGTAATACAGATTATCATGATTGTAATTTAGAATTACTTGAGAAATAGATAAATGTGATTCAGAGATAACCCCCAAATTCTGTTTAGAATCTATTTTTATTAAGCAAATATTGTTACAATGGACATGTAAAGATGAAAAAGACCTCTGGAAACCCACACCTCTAAGAAACTAACTGCCTGTAATTTTTCCAGATTCCCTCCCTGTTCTTGATTGCAGATACATTCCAAATTTTACACAGTTGCAACCGCTATCAGATGACACATAGTTATCCTTTTCCGTGGTTGCCTAATTGCTTAACCACAAGTTAACATGACACAATTTGCCACTTTCCTGCTGCTGCACTTCACTTCAATGAATATCTGCATGAATACAAGTTTTGTTTTGTTTTGTTTTCCTGATGGGTGGTTGCATTATCTGCTTAGGCTAAAAGTAATATGGACATTTCTATGACCCCAAAAGTGGAGTAGAATGACTTCCCAGGAGGGCTGTGTGAACAGATCCTGATCCAGCACTGTATCCATCAACCACATCCTCTCAAGCACGGAGCATCACCATTTATTTCTTTAAATGTTTAATTAGTAATGTAAAAGACTTAGCCAATAATTTTTTTTTTTTGAGGAAGATTAGCCCTGTGCTAACATCTGCTGCCAATCCTCCTCTTTTTTTGCTGAGGAAGACTGGCCCTGAGCTAACATCCATGCCCATCTTCCTCTATTTTATACGTGGGACGCCTACCACAGCATGGCGTGCCAAGTGGTGCCATGTCCGCACCCGGGATCCGAACCGGGGAACCCCGGGCCACCGAAGTGGAACGTGTGCACTTAACTGCTGCACCACTGGGCCGGCCCCTTAGCCAATAATTTTAACTTAGTCTTCGAGAACCTATTTAAGAAGATAAACAAGTAATAATTAAGCACTGGGTTTTGCCTTTCTTCCTCCTTTATGTGTTTGTACTGCAAATCAAGCGACAGCAAACAGTGAACACTCTGAAAAGGAGGTGAGAGAGAGAACGAGGGGCTAGAAGAATATGCAAAATGGAGAACCCGGGTAGAAGCTGAGAATTAATTGTAACTAAATGAACAAATTCCTTCTGAGGCCAAATTTGGCCTATCAGGTTACATAAACCAGATTTTTAAAGCTGAAGAAGACGAAGACTAAAAGCTACCTCCTGCCCTTTCAAGACAGGAAGCCCTCTTATATAACCTTCTCCTGAAACCAAGGAGAGAATACACTCGTGCCGAGCTAAGAGGTCATGTGGTTAGGCAGCTGGTTCTCCGACAGCCAGCGCCACTAAAGCCTTCGAATGAGTGGGAGGTTGTGAAATCTCTCTCCTTGGAGATTTTGAAAGTATGAGAGAAGCATCTGCTTCCCATGAATTTGCTTACAATCCTGCCAAGAGGCAGTGACGAGCAGCGGGCCCAGGGTTCCACAACGACTCCCCCACAGCTCCCAGGAAGGACAACGACAGAAACATCCGGCTTACTATTTAAACTGCACGTGGTAGACCACCGGCCCCGTGCCATTGCCAGGGGGCACCGGCTCCCAGCTCAGAAGCTGCTCAGCGTTGTAGAGGCGAATCTTCGGGTTTTGGGGAGCAGGCAGCTGGGAAAGAGAGTCTTGAAAGGGACAGAGAATAAGAGAAGAGGGGAAGAGGCAGGTGACAAAGGGGGAGTCAAAAGGAGAAAAATCAATTACAACAATGTTTCAATGCATACTACCCAACAATTCACACAACTCGCCTTTCGTGAAAGCGCAGAGATGTTATTACGTGTTCTCCCCAGCACATCCCCAGAGCCCACCTTTGACTGAAGATGGCACCATCGACACAGCCCATGGAGAAAGAGGGGATTGCGGCTTCCTTTCCACTGGATGGTCCAGTTCATATGAACAGCCCCCGGGGGGCCAGAGTCTGGCCGGACTAGAAAGCCTGTTCCACTTTTAGTACGTGCATGTGCCTGGGGTGTGGTGAAGACTCAACTGGTGGCCATGTGACAGGCATTAGGCCCAGCCTTAGTACCAAGGGACTGTTTGTAAACCTCACACACACATGCATGCACGCACGCGCGCACACCCCAAAGCAGGCGTGCAAAGTCCAAAGGCACATGAGAGGGTGAGACCTGTCTTCTGGGCTTCACCAGAGTTGCTGTGTTTCTCCAGGACCCCCAGCACCAAAATCACTGAGGTCCTGGTTAAAATGCAGAGCCCCAGACCCCACCCCAGACCAGGAATCTGCATTTTCAACACGCTCCCCAGCTGATTATTATGCACATTAAAGTTTGAGAACTATAGACAACAAAAGAACACCCTCCCCCGAGAACCCCGACAAACATCAGAATCCCCCTCCCTGGGGAGACCTGAAAAACACAACCTGATCCCCCTCCACCCCAAGCAGATGCTTCACAGGACCGGGCTAGGGACTGACTGCAAGTGTGGAACCTTTTCTCCAGGAAGAAAGCACGATAATGATAAAACTTTCTCTGAGACTGAAAGATTAACGAGAAGGTGGAAAGAAAAGCTTGAAAAACATGCTGTCCCAGGATGCACAGCAGGAAATTCAAACCACACCTTCTCAGTCAACGCATCCAGTCTTGAAGAATGGTGCCTGGGTTACCCTACCACCTGGACCACCAGCTCTTCTTCTGAAAGACAGATGCACTAGCAAAGCCTGTGGCCACTTGGTTGCTTACAAAATGCCATCATCTCCCCATCTACGAGCTGGGGTGCACCTTCATTCCAGATCTTTATTTGACCAGCTAACCAGCACTCCTCCCAATTCATACCTGGCCTCCTGAAAGCCAGGGCCTAAGGCAGACAGACAGACAGGCGCAGTGTGGCGGCCGGCCGCTCTCCTGGGAGGCCCAGCCCGCGCACACCGGCTGCTACGGCACAGCGGATCCCAAAACCAAGCTGAGAACTGAAGGCCTGCTTCTAGGGAGGCTGTGGAGCGCCTTGGTTGGGGCTGGGCACCCATCAAAGAATCTTAGAGACCTCCTTTTACCGCCTGTATGAGTTTCTAGTTGATGCTGAATGAAATTACCACAAATTTAGCGGCTTAAAACCACTCAGATTTATGCTCTTACAGTTCTGGAAGTTTGAAATAGTTCTCACTGGGCGAAAGTCAAGGAGTTGGCAGGGCCGTGTTCCTTCTGGAGGCTCCAGGGGAGACTGTGTGTCCTCGCCTTTTCCAGCTTCTAGAAGCTGCTGACATTCTTTGGCTCGTGGCCCCTTCCTCCAGCAACGCTGGGCGGAGGCCTTCTTGTGCTGCCATCTCTCTGGTTCTGATTCTTCTGCCTCCCTCTTCCATCCGGAAGGACCCACGTGGTTACACCGAGCCCACACAGGCCAAAAGTCCAGGATAATCTCCCCAACTCAGGATCCTTAATTTACTCACTTCTGCAAAGTCCCTTTTGCCATGTAAGGTGACACAATGACAGGTGCCAGGGATTAGCACGTGGGCCTCTTTGGGGACCATCATTCTGCCTGCCACAGTGGCCACTTGGTTACTCACAGAATGCCAGCATCTCCACATCTGGCCATCTCTAGGGAGGAGCCAGTAGGAATTCCCTCTCCCCAGTCTCGACATGCAGCTAAGAAAGGAAGCCCCAAGGGGCCAGCGAGGAAGGACAGGCTTCCACCCCAACCGCCGTGTGGACCAGAAGAAACACTTCCCTGTAAAAGCTGGAGCCTACAGACTTTCACTTTCTTCGGCTTTCATCTTACTGAGGTGTGGGAGAGAGCACCGGCGGTTTTGATCTGATATTTAAGTTTCTTGGAATCCCCTCTCTCACCACATGCAGAGAAGAAAACAAGTCTTCGTACTGTGGATTCCACAGTGAAGTGCCACAGGCTGCCTACTTACTAACAACCACCTTACACGGGTGCCCTCCGCACCTCTCGGAAGGCCGGGCCCCCAACGGCCTCACACCCCTTAGTCCGGCCCACATGGCCTCCCCTGCTCCTGAGAAATCTTTACTTCTCTCCATGGAGCTTTTCAGCCGAGTCCTGGGTTTACCCCACAGTGGTCAGGAGCCTGGATTCCAGGACTAGACCCCCAGGGTTCAAATCCACCCGCTCCTTGTGCGACCTTGGGCAAGTGGTTTAGCCCCTTTGTGCCTCGCTGTTTCATCTGTCTGAGGGGAATGACAACAGTACAGACGTCAGAGGGCTGTTACGAGGAAGGAACGGGTTGATCTTTCCTGCAGTGCTGAGAACAGTGTGAGCACCGTGGGATCGCCGCCTCTGCTCGCTGCTGGCAGCTGTCCGACAGTCCCCCCCCAGACCCCAGTGTGGTGAGCTCTAGGAAGGCCGGCGGTGTCAGATCTGGGGGCTCTTTCACCCCCTGTGCCTGGAACAGTAAGCACTCAAGCTCTGGTGAATGAGCGGCCTGCAGCCCAGCAGTCTGCTCTTCTGCAGATGATGTCACCTCTTTGCTGCGTCCTCAGCTTGCATTTGTCTGCTCAAAACCCATGCAAAGCTCAGGCTCTCTTTTCCCTCCCCGGCTTTATGCGTGAGTCCCTCCTTTGTCTCTGGTCCCAGAGGCCAGCGCAGGAGTGGGTGGACAACTCTGGGCCATGGACTTAGCTGGTTGGCTCTGAACAGTCAATATACCTGGGCCATGGCACCTGCTGTCTACAGTGTTGACAAAGGCTTGGTGGGAAGAGAACAGGATTTATGGACAAAGGGCTTTAGCTGGAATCCTGCTCCCGCCATCTCTAACCACAGGATCCTGCCCAAACCCCACCCGGGCCTCAGTTTCGTCATGAATAACGAAAATGACACTATCCCTCTCGGACTTGCAGTGAGGGGCAAACGCAAGAGCATGAATGGAAGGTGAACCGACAGAGCTGCTGAAGTGTGATTTTTAAGACGTGACAACTTCAGGCTGTCCTCATTCCTCAGGAACGGCTGCTTCTGCAGGTGGCAAGCGGCAGCCAGTGACCCAGACCCCGCCTTCAGTGACCACCAGCAGGGTGCCCAGCCCTGTGCTGAGCACTGTATTCGACGGTCTGACCCAGTTGAAGGCAGAAGAGTGGCCCCCAAAGACGTCTGTGTCCTGTGCATATGTCAGCTTACATGGCAAAAGGGAATCAAGGTTGCAGACGAAATGTAGGTACCTCACCAGAAGACCTTAAAATAGGGAGATTATCCTGGGATGTTTGGGTGGACCCAATGTCATCACGAGGTTGTTTCTCTAGAAGCTGGAAAAGGCAAGGACATAATTCTCCTCCTAGAACCTAGAAAGGAATGCATCCGTACTGCTACCTTGATTTTAGCACAGTGAAATCTGCATCCGACTTCTGAGCTCCAGAACTGTAAGATAAGAAATTTGTGGTGTTTTGAGGCACTAAGCTGGTGGTGATTTACACAGCAACAACAGGAAACTATGACAGTCCCCAGTGGTAGACACCAGGGCTTCAACGACAACCCCAGCTCCTATAAAGATAAAAGTTCAGTCTCAAGTGGGGGGTACAAAGCCCCACTCTACCTTCCTTCTCCATGGTCTTTGGGGCAATGATGCATAACTATTAATGGTAAGAAGAGATAACCTACATATCAGCCATGCAAAGTGTGTCCTCTGCACCTCTCAACCACAGCTCCTTCTGTTCCGCCTTCCTGCCCCAACCCTCCACTTCTGATCCATCCTGGATCCAGATGTTTAAGATTTTATACATACTTAAGAATAGGCTACCTGGGTCTTAACAGCACAGTTTGATTAACATACATCACATATAAATAATAAAGTAAAGTACAATTAATATTAAAATTAATCATTTAATCTTGACAACTGAAGACCTTTCTGGATCTTTCCTTGAATGGGGCATTATGATGAACATCAGTGATGTTCATCCCCCTTCAGGTGAGAAGTCTAAAAAACATTGCCTGGGTCCTCAGTGATAACCAGGAAGTTGCTCTCTTCAATAAACACTGAACATCAGCTTATTTACCTGGACCATTTGTCTCTTCCTATGAAGGACGGTTTTGTTTCCTTGAGGATGATTGGGGCTATTACCTACTTCAAAAGAATGGTTGAGGAGATTAAGATGGATATGTATACATACGTACTTAGCACCTTGTCTGACCTAGCAGAGTGGCCCCATAAATGGGAGCTATTAGGATCATTGATAGAATTTGCCCCAAAGCACTCCAGCTATTTAGTGGTTTCAACTGTCGGGATTATGGACAACAGGAGTTACTTAATGTACATTCATTTGCAATGGTTTTTATTTTGCTGGGGATTTCCCGTCTTTCTCAGGGGTCTCTAAGCACTTTAGAAACTTTGGATGTTTAAGTCAGCAAATCATAGTAATAAAATTCTGTGGCACAAGTACAGATCTAATCCAAATTAAGCAGCAGCTATGACAATTACAAATAGAAGCATTAATTCTTCAACACTCAGGGAATTAAATTAAAGAGTCCATTGACTTGCCACACTTTAGTGCTGGCGATGAGTTTTCTACCTAAAGCACATGGCCACCACTTAAAGCATTGCTCCAAACTGGGTCTGGTCCGATATCTTACATATGTTATCTTTATACCAACTCTAAGTGGTAGATATTATAAATCTCCCTTTTAAAAATTCGTTTCCAATACTCTAATTTTTTTTCTCTGATCATAAAAGCAATGTCATGATTATTGAAGGACACATGTAAATTATGGAAAAGTGTGGAAACTTATCTACTGCCCATTTACTATGTACTCATCCTTAATATTTTCACTTTGTGTTTTTTTTTATGATTAACATATTTTTGTGATTTTTTTTTTTTTGGCAGGGAAAGACTCGCCCTGAGCTAACATCTGTTGCCAATCTTCTTCTTTTTTCCTCTCTTCTCCCCAAAGCCTCAGTGCGTGGTTGTGGATCCTAGTCCTTCTAGTTCTTCTGTGTGAGCTGCTGCCACAGCACGGCTACTGGGAGATGGATGGTGTGGTTCTGCAACCAGGGAAGGGAACCCGGCTGCTGAAGTGGGAGTGCCAAACTTTAACCACCAGGCCACCAGGGCTGGCTCATTCACTTTGTGTTTTGACTAACAAACAGCTTCTCTTTAAAATGTCCCAGTTAGTTTTCTAATTGTTTATTATGAAAAAATTTCAAATAGTCACAAAAATAAAGACTAGTATAATGTGGTGCTGCTTTTCAAAGCATCTATGGTGAAGGGCCAGTTCGTTTCCACTGCATCACACAGACCCAACTTCTATAGAATACAATAAAAGACAATTACTAGAAAGATGGACATGCCCTTGGGTGTTGCGGCCATGTTGAACTGCAAAGTTTCTAAACACTTCTGCAGTCTTTGGACTCATAGCAGACAAGTCACAAACAGTTGACAGACCACCATTAGTCAGGAACAGCACTAGTATATAAAGTACCACCACTTCCCCATCACCGATCTTAGGCAATTACCAACATTTTGCCAATCCCCAAATCTCATTTGAAGGAAGCCTGGGGGGACCTGGAGGAGGCCCAGGGAGATCTTAAGGAGGCCCAGGGAGCGGATGGACATAGGCTGCTCAAGACCTGAAGCTGGGGAGGGGTAGAGTCAGGGTTCAAAGCCAGCTGTCTGACTCCCATGGGAAAACAGTTAACCGTTTAGCCAGGAGCACATCCTCAGACGCAGGGCTCCCCTTACCAAGGAGCTATGGAATTTAAGAGCCTTTGCAAGGGATGCTGGTCAAGGAAACAAACCCAAACACCTTGAGACTTCAAATGGGAGGAAACTTCTAAATTCTTGAGACTAAGTGCTACCCAACCTATGACATCAGTCTCTCCGTGGGAAAGAAGCCAGCAAAACACAAACACATTTACATACACAGAATGTTCTCCTACCTACACCACAGTCACTGATACTTTTTTTCTTTTCTTTTAGTCTCGATATTTGGCTCATAAGTATAGTCAGTTAGTATCAGAAGTAAAGAGGCTGAGAACCCATAAGGGGCTCTCCAGATGCGAGCAGAGCTGGGATCACAAATCTGGTTTGGCTAAACCCCTTCCACTAAACAACTGGGAGTGTGGATATTTCTGGGTCCTGCTCTGGGTGCTGCCCCCACCCCCACCCCCACTCCATCGATCTGATCCTGGGGAACCGACCACCTGGATTTCACAACCACTATCAAACACAACCAGGCCACTGTGAGACAGTCACGGTCACACCTCCAGGGCGGAGGTCCCTGCCGGTGGCTGACCTCCGTAGCACGAAGCTGCAGAGTAGACAGGCCTGGGTCCCGTCTGCAGCTCAGGCCACTGGGGAGGACACGTCAGGCAGAGGCTAGATCAGTCAGGCCGGGATGAACAATCTGTGGCCGGCAGAAGCACCCCTTTCCCGAGCCCTGGATTCGGTTTTCCCTTTGCTCGTTTTGGGAAATTCAAAGAAGTCGACCGCACTCAATTATAGGGTTCGGGGGCGCGGGGGCGGGAGAAGAGGAGCAGCAGTGTGTCCAGATTCATGCGGGGGCAGAGTGAGCGTCTCCTTCCTGAGAAGAGTGACCCAGGGATCAGGAGGCCGGGAGGGGTGACATTCGTCCCGCGCCTCCTCCTGGCCGCCGGCTCCCGGCCCAGGGACTGCCTGGAATTCCCCACCGTCCACCCCGCACCCGCCTCGAGCTCCTCGCCAGCTCCCCCTCCACGCAGGCCCTCACGGATCCCACTGGCTAAGCACCCCCACATGCTGCAAGCACCCGCAGACCCCAGCCGCTGCGGACACCCCGTGTACCCCTAACCGATCGGGGCTCCCCGTGGATCCCCCACCCTCTCCGGGCTCCCAGGGGAACCCACCCGATCGGGGTACCCCTGCAGATCCTCAACCGATCGGGGCCCCTCGCGGACTCCCACCCGCGGCGACGACGCCCCCGTCGGCCTGGGGGGCCCAGGCCGGGCTTACCTGCCGGGGGCGCTGCAGCGCCGCAGCCGCCGAGCAGCAGCAGCAGCAGCGGCGGTGGCGGCGGCCGCATGGCCCGGGGCTCTGGGCGCCGCAGGCTCGCTGGCGACTCCGGGCGCGGCCCGGCGCCGGCGCGGGGTCCGCCGAGCCGCTCACGCCGCCGCCTCGGCGGCCATGGCTTCGCAGGCCGCGCGGGGCCCGCCTCTTCCCGAGCGGGGTGGCGGCGCGTCCCCAGCGGCCAGGGAGCCGCGCTCGGCCGCCGCCCCCAGGCCGGCCCCGCCCCGCCCTCTCGGAGGGGCCGCCGCGCCCCGCCCGCCGCAGCCGCCGCGGGGACTTTCCCCGGCCCCCCCCACCACCGGGGACGGCGCTCCCGGGAACCGCGCCCCGGGGGCCCCGCGCTCCCCCGGCTCCTGCGCGCCCCCGGGCCGCCTCCCTGAGCGCGGAGCCGGCCGGCCGGGCCAGCACGGAGCTGGGGCGCCGAGGGAGCCCCGCAGACCGCCCCCCCCCGGGGCCTGCGACCCTTCTGGAAAGACCCCGCGAAACCCAAGGCCCTGGGTGGGCCGCGCGCCCAGCCCCGAGGCCCCCACCCCAAGCCGACCCCTCCGCTCCCGCTGCTCCCGACCCCGGGGTCGCCCAATTCCAGGATCTTTCGCTTGAGTTTAAACTTTGGCTTTTTTAATAGCCTCTGAAGTACGTATTAAGCTTTTAGCCCCTCTTTGCAGACAGGTTCCTGGGGTGGAGTGGTCAGAAAGGCCTGGGTAGAGGAAGGAGTGGGGCTTGGGCACAGGGCGATGCGGAGGGAAGTAGAGAAACGGCCCCCATTTCATAATGGGGTGTGGGGTTGGCCGCGACACAGACTGCGAGGCGTAGGAGGAAGTCACCCCGGGAGCGGGGGCGAGTGGGGGGGGGGTGGAAGCGAGGGGGAGGGGAGTGGAGGGGGAAAGGGGAGCGCGGGGTGGGGGGGGCGTCGTGTGGGGGAGGGGCGCTGCTCTCCGAGCCGAACCTGCGCTGTTTCCAGTGTGATGCCCGAAGGAGGATCTGAGGCTGCTCGGTTCTGCCACGAGAAGCGGTAAACCCAGCTCCGCGCGGAAAGAAGTGGGCAAAGACGGGAATGAGCGCGGGGAGAGCACGAAGTGCAGAACAGGGTGATCAGGGCGCAACTGGGAACCCGCGGGGGCGGGTTCGCGACAGAGTGTTTAGCAATACAGAAGGTTACTCTGGGACTTCTTGCCTTCTATTTCCCTTTTATAGAATTGTTTGGAAATTGGCCACCATTGTAACAAATACGTGATGAACTCTCTAGCAGTTATTTGAATGATACTTGGAGTCAGTTTCTCAAGACATGGAGCCATGTGTATATGTTAAGAAAAAAGCAGGATATAAATCAGAATCTTTGCAAAAATGATGCATTGAAAATGACTGGAGGAAACATGCCAAAACACTCACATGAAATAGGTAGTGGGATTATGAATGATAACAGTTTTCTTTTTTATACTTTTCTCTTCCCCCCCCCCCCCCCCCCGCAATGGGCATATTTTACTGTTATAATCAGGAAAAAAAAGCATGTTGAAGAAAGGACAACCGTGCGCCGGTCTCAGCGCAGCCAGGAGGGCTCGTGACCTCTCTCGAGGTGGAGTTTTCAGGGGCAGTGACAGTGAAGCCTGTGGTCTTTGAGGAGGATGGTGACACTCCTAGGGGGCTGCTTATTTCACCCCAGCTGGAGAACTGCTTGCAAAACTCCTCTCTGCTGAAACTTAGAGGGCTTCTTTTCCTTACAGAAGTCCTTGGCAGAGTGCTAAAAGGAGCATGCCCAGTTTGGGACTTGGGTAGGTATCCTGCTGTCACACAATATCCCCAAAGCCAGTAACTGTCCCCCCACTGCAGAGCAGCTCACCATGGAAAAGCCAGTTTTCAGGGGCTGGCATTGCCATTTTCCTGTTCCTTCCGACTGGAAGACTTATGAAGTCACGGATAGATGACGCTGACTTCCATCGAGATTCTCCATCTGAAAAGAACAGGAAGCCAGTCTCGGTAGTTCTTGTGAAGGATGTCTATCATCCACTGCCCTCTGTCTGGTTCCGTTTGCACCCCACGTATCATCATGCAACACCTCGATTATTGCATGTAACCTTGTGAGTCCCCTTCTGCAGCTTCCACCTTGGAGAATTATTGTGAAACTACTGAAAGCTTAAACCTCAGAGGCCCTCGCTTGCACAAGCCGTGGAAGGGGCAGCTGGCGCTGCGTTCACAGGGTCATATGCTTTTATGAAATCTGCAGAGTAAGAGATTTCACCCACAGTGATTAAGACCTCTGTCTCTTTCCTCTCCGACTTCTCCTTTAACATACTTCTCTTGGCGGGTGGTGTTGGGGTGGCTCTGGCGTTTTTGAGGCATGTCTTGACATCAACAACGAATTGCGAAGTTAAAAGAAACTTTTCTAAACTGTCAATAATAAGAAACATTTTGATAAATCATTCTAGAGGAAAGACTGAATTCACTTTCTATAGAGAATATTACAAAAGGTTGCGGTAAGTAGACGTACACATCACACAGTCAAAGATGTAGGTAAAAAAGTATTAGAGTCAGGCTGTTAGCTAATACAAATAGTATTTTATTTTTCAACAATTTGTAACTTCTTGTGATTTGTTTTCTCATTTTAGATAAATACGCACTTTTGAACCTAGTTCTATATTCTTCGTTATGTATTCTTTAACAAGGAGGGCTCCCCCATGTTATATAAACTTCAGCCTTAAAAACCCGAATCACCCCATCTCTTTCCATTAATTTGCTACCTTCCAACCAGTTGATCGTCCCTAGATATTTTCCTCATGCTGATAATCTAGAGGTGCTCCCCTCCCCTCCCTCAGGAGGGTGGATGACGGGCGGCAGAGAGAAACCAACATTGGTTGATGGCCAGTGGGGCTTCTACCTGTGTTATGCCACTCAGTCCGCACAGCTAGGGGGGTTATAACTGCCATTTCACAGATGAGGAGACCCAGGCCCAGAGAGTTAGGTGACTAGCCCCGTGGAGGCCCAGAGAGTTAGGTGACTAGCCCCGTGGTGGATTTGTACCGTGTCATTTTACGAAGCCGTAACTGCGTTTTCTAGCATTCCCCTCCTTGCATAGTTCTGGTTAGCATGGGCCTGGGAAGTAGGGTTTGGTACAAGATTTGAAAGGCAGCAGTGAAGGGGCAGCCATAGTGCTTTACTCTGGGGAGGCTGGGGCAGGACGTAGGGCCCTGCTGTGGTTCATAATGTCGTGGCTGATGTGCTGGCATCCTGGATGGCTGGGACCGCAGCCAGGCCGGAGGCTCCTCCAGCTCCTGCTGGATCCTCTGCTTCAGCTTCCCTGTCACGTGGGCCAGGTGTGCGTTTAGCTCCGTGACAAAGGGCGCCAGCTTTTCCTGCAGGACAGTCACGCTGTTGGAGGCCTGGAGATGATGCGAGACTGACGCGGTTCCAGCTTGTTCCTGCATGTGCTGCCTCGCATCCACCTTCTCTTCCCGCCCTGAGAACTTCGGACTCCAGTCCCAGATGGGAAAAACAGTCTCACGTAGACTGTGTAGCCAACCCCTGTGACTGCTTTAATGGCAAATTCCTCTCTCTCTCTCACACACGCACACATCTCATGCTGGTTCTGCTTCTCTGATCCAAACCTGGCTGACCATACCCCCAAATCACACAGCAAACAAGTGCTGAGCTGGTCCCATCTGATTCCAAAGCCCCTTGCATCTCACACCAAACTTCTCATCCTGCCATTTCAGTTTTCCCTAATCAGGCCCGGCTCTACCTGCCCGATCATACTTTCTGTGGCGCCCCAACAAGACCTGCCATCCCACCAGGGAGTCTTTGAAGATGTCCTTCGAGAAGTTCACATATGTGTTGTGTTACTTCTCTCCCGACACTGTCCGCCCCACTTGTGCGCCCCTCTTCTTTCTGTCGCCTCTCACCCTCTTCCCCCCTCCCCACACCCACAATCTAAATTCTAAACTCCCTGTCTTGCCTGAGCTTCCACTTCCGGAGAGCTTTGTTGCCTTCCCTGATTACCGTCTCCCACTCTTCGATGCCATCTTAGTCAGCGCTGATCTCTGATCTCAGCGACGCCCCCAAAGTGTAGGTGGGTGAGTGTTCCCCACAGAGTCAAACCCAGCAGCAAGAGCTGTGAACGCGGAGGAGGCCGGGAGCATTGGCTAGCGCGGCCTTGATTGGGTGTCCTCTGTTCCAAGAAATTCCAGCAGCAAGGTCAGAGAGATTAGCACGTAAGTAGAAGACAAATTCACCACAGGTCTCCAGTCACTGGGCCCCGTCTTCTCGCTCTGTCTGTCCCAGGCCAGTGTCCTCCTTTCATCTCCCTGCAGTTGTCTCATTTCTGCTTCCCCAGTGGGGCCACCATAAACCTCATTCCAAAGATACGTACTCTTTTCTCCTCTACTTCCTCCTATGAGGGACTTTTGTAAGAGTAACTGTTACAAAATGGGACCTTCTGCATTTCATTCCTCTGTCAAACAGGGAAGGGATAATATCCTGAAATTTGGCAGGGGGAAGAAAGAACAGGCAGAGGGGAAGACATTTTACTGGTCCTCTTAACCCCCTTAAAAAGAGACAGCATGCCTACATTTTAGGTAAATGGCAAAGGTTTAATATTTCTGACCCTGGTCAGTCCCCTGGAAAAGCCCCAGAATCCAGGGCCAGGCCTTCGGGAAGCTGCCCGTGCGAACTTGGGAAGGGACGGGCTTAAGATTTCTTCAGGCAGGATTTGTAATTCAGAGAAACTCAGACCGATCTCTGTTTTCTGGAAAGATTAAGATCATATCATCATCCTTCTGTGTTTGAATTTGTCATCTGAGGCCTGTAGGCTTCCAGGAGAAACCTAGCAGGTTGGAGGAGAATAAAGGAAGTTCAGTAACAGCCTCAGGCTAGGCGGGGCCAGGAGGCATCAGACAAGGCATCTGATGAATCATCAAAAGCCCCATCAGCAAACGAGGTGGGAGTGGGCTATGCCCCACCCTCCGATAAGAATAGGTATCATTTATTGAGACCCCACCGTACGTCACCCCTCCATCCTCATAACAGACCTGTGAGGGAGGGGCAGTGGTTAATTGTCTTGTTTTCTGACCACTCAGCACCTCTTGAATACCCTTGGTATATATGTGGAATTTTCAGCCTTATGAGTACTGCCCTTTCCAGAAAACTCCATTTCCCAGCCTCCTTTGCAGCCACATTACTTAGCCTGTGCCAAGCCTCCTTCCACGATAAATCTTCTCTTGGCCAAAGTTATGAAAAATTTCACCTCCAAGAACCACTAGGAAATCGCCTCAGACCCCAATTCTTCAAGAATTTTCATGAGGGAAATCAGCCCCATATAACCCAAAGAATTTTAAGTTACTTATCCTAAAAGTTACAAACACTTATTATTCTAACCCTCTTTGCAGACATATATATGAATATCCTTTCAAATATATTCTTTACCTTGTTTATTGTGATTCCCTTTATTTTCAAAATATATATTTGAATCTTTTTTTCCAGACATGTTTTCTAATTTGATTACTATTGTTAGCGAGCGAGGGGCTTGCCCTGCTCTCCGAGATCTGAGTCAATTAATCACAATGAGGTAGAGACTGAGAGAGGAAGCTTTAATTTGATTAGCTGGCATAATCGGAAGATGGGTGACTAATGTCTCAAAAAACCCATCTTGAA